CCATTGTAGACATTGGAGACATAGTAGTGAACAAAACAGGCAAGTTCATGACCTTATGGAGCATAGAGTATAGTGAAGGAGACTGAGTAAGATAAATACATAATAGAAGCCAGTTCTAAGTGCTATGAAGAAATATGAAGCCTGGCATATAGCTTGTAATGGAGGAGCTGTTTTAGTAAGAGTTCCAAGGAAGGCTTTTCTGGGCTGATACTATTTGAACTACACCTAAGTGTACTGAGGGGAGCCAGCCCACGTATTTGTAAGCCAGAAATACTCCAGGACTGCTCGTGTTTTCTCTGGAATTCTGCCTCAGGATTCTCCAAGAAGAATGTAAAAGATGCAAATTCTTGAGTCACACCCCAGACCTCCCAAACTGGAACGTCTGGGACTGGAATCCAGGACTCTGGCGTGGTAAAATGAGCTTTTCCATCTATATTTAAATTTGAACAGTTCTGCCTTAATTCCTGGCCTCGTGTTTCCATCACCACCCTCACAATATATATATCAGGATGGATTCTGGGCAGATAGCGTACAGCAAAGAATCAGACATGACTACTCCACCACCCAGGCCCTAAGATCCTTTCCACTTCTTGTCCCTACACATGGTGCTATGGCAACGTCACATCAGCTCATTTCTGACACCGATCAGTCAGGGGCCCAGAATGGGCTTCTCCTGCTGCCCTGAGCTTTCTGGACCAGATACTGAGCTCACATTTCAGAGCTTGATATCCCAGGTGAATAGGGCTGAATTTAATCCCTGAAGGAAATATATTACTCTTACTATTAGGAAAATATGAAAACAAATTAATTTACATAAATTGGAAAACATATAAGCAAATTAAGAAATTTTAAATCACCCATAATTGTACCTGAACCAAGCATTGTTAATTATATATTCTTCCAAAATTTTCAAATGCATGAAAGTATATTTTTAACGAAAGATGAGACTATTTTAATTTCACTATATTATGAATACCATTATTAAGTATTCTAAAATTTTTATAAAATCATCTTTTTATAATTCTAAAGTAGCATGTAATTATAAAGATATATTTACAATGGAAAATCACAAAAACTGGGAATGTGAAACTTCTGATATTTTCTACCCATGAGTACAAATTCTAAAGTAATCCAAAGTAAATATTTTATTTAATCAATCACAGTTTTCAAAAAGGCAAACATAACTTGTTCCCATAACAGGGTCATAATATATACATACTGACCTGCAGGTCTCATTTTTTGTCCTCTGAATAGCAGTTATTTTTTAAATTATTACTGACAATGATATATTATTTTAATTGTTATATACTGTTATGCTCAGTGGATGTTCCGTAACTTACCAAAATATTCATGTACCATTATACTTTCAGATTTTTCCTTTTCTAAAAATTACAAAAGCCACTCTGATTAATATTAAGAAAACTTTTTATAAAACATACTGTTGTAATGAAAATTGCTAGGTCAAAGAAAATGAAAAACCTTAGTTCTGGCTGGTGTAGCTCAGTGGATTGAGCACTGGCCTGCAAACCAAAGGGTTGCGGGTTCCATCCCCAGTCAGGGCACACACCTGGGTTGCAGGCCAGGTTCCCAGTAGGGGGTGTGCGACAGGCAACCACATATTGATGTTTCTCTCCCTCTCTTTCTCCCTCCCTTCCCCTCTGTCTAAAAATAAATAAAATCTTTAAAAAAATTGTTTTAAATGGATCCAGGTTGCCTTCTATAAAGGAACTACCAATATCTACTTAAATCCTCTACAATCACACCTCTTGTGCTCTGCATAAAAATAACATTTTAAAGTGTGCTCCTTTTTTAGTTGGGAACTATGCAAAGTATAATAATTGTGTTATCTCATAATTTCATATTCTCAAACGCCCCACCGTCGTCTTCATTTATTTTTGTCAGGAAACACATATATTTGCACCTTCACTTCATCTCCTTCCCCACTCAAGGGAGCTGTATCCACTCCCACGAAGGAAGTATCATTTTTGTGGAGCTCCGCCCTTTCGATTTCGACCTTTCAACGGCTGTCTTACTTCCTTTTAAACTACCACCCTGTTCGCAGACCTAAGCTTTCAAATGATCACTGCTTTGTCAACTCTGAGACCGCAACCTGTTCGGTGACAGCTCGGCTTCTACCAGCGTCCTGGATTGCAGCTCTACGTGCCGTACAGAAACCTGCTTTCGTCTAAGATGGCCGCGCCCAAGGCCTCAGCTCTACAGTACATAACGGGCGCCGCCATCTTTCCTTGTTTTCTGGGCAGCTGAGCGTGCCGAGTCGGCCTTGGATAGACACCAGCCTCTCAAATCTTACGCAGATAACACGGCATTGTTAATGGTACCTCGCGACGAGGTGGTAAAAGCATCGATAAAGCCGAAAATAATAGCGATTTCTTCCTACACCCATTTGGCCGCCCCAGTACCAACCGCCAGGGTGGGCGTGGCTACGTTACGTCATAGAGCCCGTCCCACACAGTCCGAGCTCGGAAGTCATGCAACGCTTGGAGGTCCTCGCGGAGCTCCCAGGTGCTGGCCGGTCTGCGTCCCTAGGGCCAGCGAAGTAGCGTAACCGAATAGAAAGTGGCTTCGGACGTGGACTCGCATTTTGTCACTGCCGGTGGTGTCCGGAGGCGCTCGGCATCGGGTGAGCTGGGCTCTGGTTTCGGATTTTCGGCTTGCGGGGAGTGTGAAACCTGAGGCTGTGTGGAGGACCGTGTTTGGGATTTTTTTTCGGGTTCTGTCACTGAGGAATCTGGGCGTTGGTGATGAGGCCTCTGACAGGGAGGGACTAAGAGTCTGGAGAAATCATCCACCAAGAGTCCGACTCTGTCAGATTTTGAGGTCCACGTGCGTCGCTTGGCTTGTGGAACTCAGCGGTTGAGAGGTGGGGTGGAAAGTCTGTCAGTGAACACGATGCTCAGTGAATGAAAAGCCCGGTTGAGGGAATGTCCCTTTTAGTTTCTAGAGTATGTTTGGAATTTAATATGGCATTTAGTGTAGGATTCAATCATTGAGACACCCGGTGGGGTTGTCACTGTTGAGAGATCAGGACCCCCGAACAATCACTAGGTTCTGGCTCAAACCTTGAGTGCCGGAAAAAGGCATGAAGATTGCATTTTTGTTCACTCCTTCAAGTTCAAGACTGTCCTCCTGAGGACCTTACTAAAACTTTTGTGTGTCCCACTGATGCCCGAGGGACGAGTCCGTAGTGGGGAATGGAGCCAAGGGGGTTCTTGGCTGTTCGCAAGAAATAATTGAAGAACGAACCTAGGAGGGAAGTGGAAGAGCAGGGGCTTTTGGTTGGCTTGGGGTTTTGTTTGTTTGTTTGTTTGTTTGTTTGTTTGTTTTGAGAGTACGCTTATTAAAGCTGGAGACTGTGAAACTAGAAAGGGCTTAGAACAGAAGAAGCAACACAAGAGAGCGTACATCGGCGGGGCGGTTTTAGCTCACTGAGAAGTCAGAGAAAAGGGGGCCTTCGGGGCAGGTTAAGGGAGTTAGCCAGGGAGGAGCTGCTGGTGCCCATTGCTCCCTTGGTTGCGAGTCTTTGGGGACCCTCAGAGTTTAGGAGATGCACACCGTGGGGGAAGAAGAGGGGCCAAGAGAATAAACCAAGGGAGGAGAGTGTCCTTGAAAAAGCAGAGGGGTTTTGAGCAGAGAGGACAAGCAAGGTCTCTCCTCACAGGAGGAAAAAGACCCCCAACGATCCGTAGAGGTTGAGTTTACATCTGTTCCTAGGTTCTATGGAAAATTAATGGTATGGGAAAATAGAGAGGGGGCGGGGGGAAGTTGAGTTTAAATTTAACTTTAACTTTTACAAAGTATGTTTTGTGGTCTGTTTTCCGTTTACGGTATGAGTTAAACGCTTGTGGTATGAGCAAGCTATTGATAGTAATCTTTACAAGAATTTTTCTTTGTTGTAAGTTTCTTGAGGTTTGCAGTAGCAGGCTCTGAGTCTAACAGGCTTGGCTTTGATCTATTTATTGCTCCTTCCCTGAATTACTACATCACCTCTCTTCTCAGTATTAGCTCAAAATTCTTTGTGGTTCTGAATGATCTAGTGACATTTACTGTTAAAGATGTAGTTTTTGTTCTTGCCTCCAAGTTTACTGTATTTTTTTTTTGGATATTTTCTTTTAGGATCATTATGACTCAAGTAAGAGTATCTCTGTGCCCTGTATTTTGTTCCCATGGTGAGAACCTTTTTTTTAATTTTAATGTTACCTTTTATTTACATTTGGCATAATCTGTATAAACATTGGGACAGTTGATTATATCACTTAATTTCTCACCAACATACTTGCATACGAGATTATATTTATACATTTTTAAATCATCACAGTAGTATCAGCACAGGTTGGTGAACCAGTGGCATGGTATCTGGAATCGAATACATTCATTCATGGAAGTAGTAGTGACATTAAATATTCAAAAGTATTTAATTATAATTTCAGTAACCCATTTTGACTTTCGGATCACATAAATTCTCCCACTCCACTTAGAAATTTACTGTGCCTTTTTTTTCCTACCTGCAGTTTCTGACTATAATTATTCCATGGTAAAAAAAAAATGTTTTTCTCTTGACACTTTTTTGCAGTTGCAATTGGTGCTTTCTCACTTCTTCTTTTTCTTGTACTGTGAAAAAGGATGTCTTTTTGTTGTTGTTAGTTTTACTGAGGTTTGATTTACATGCCATAAAATTTACTACATACAAGTATATGTCAATGATTTTAATGATTTTAAAGGAATTTTTAGAGTTGTGCAACCATCAGCACAATCTAATTTTAAAACATTTCATCACTGAATAGTTATCTTGGTCTTCTATGCACCCAGTTTCCACTCCGACCCCCAGCCATGCAAAACCTCTGATCACCTTCCTGCCACTTTTAATTTGCAGTTTCTAGGCATTTCATATAAACAGAATCACAAAATATGTAGTCATTTGTGGTTGCTTACTAAATTTTTTAATTTTTATTATTTTTTTCCATAGCTTTTTAGAAAGAGAGGAAGGGAGAGAGAGAAACATCGATGCAACAGAGAAGGCTCAATTGGTCGCCTCCTGTACACACATGGACCAGGGATGGTTTGCACCCGGATCAGGGACTGAACCTGCAACCTAGGTATGTGCCCTAACCAGGAATGGAACCCACAACCTTTTGGTTACGGGACAATACTCCAACCAACTGAGCTACATAGGCCAGGGCTGTGGTTGCTTTTTTTCATTTAGCGTATTTTTTAGGTTTATTTATACTATGATTATCACTAAGCTTCCCTTTTTTAAAGTGATTTATATAAGCAAAATTGACAACAAACTACACATACTTAAATTGTTCATATTGCTAAGTTTTACATATATATTCGTCACTACAATGATGGTAGTCACATGCCCATCACATCTAAAAGTTTCTTAATGCCCCCTTTTAATCCACCTCTCTCATATTTTATTTTATTTTTTAATTTTTAATTGAATTCATTGGGGCAACATTTGTTAGTAAAACCATATAGGTTTTGAGTGTACAACTCAATAAAATATCATCTGCATACTCTATGGTACCCTTACTGCCCAAAGTAAAGTCTCTTTTTGTCCCCATTTGTTCTCCTTTTGCCCTCTTCCACCTTCCTCTACCCTCCTCCCCTATCATCAAACTACTATCTGTGTCTATGTTATATAAATATATATGTATTTTTTGTTTTACTTAATCCCTTCATCTTTTCCACCCAACCCCCAACCACCCCTTCCCTCTGACAGCTGTTGGTCTGTTCTGTTTATCTATGTTTCTGTTCTATTTTGTTTGTTAGATTATTTTGTTCATTAGATTTCACATGTAAGTGAAATCATATGGTATTTTTCTTCCTCTGACTGGCTTATTTTACTTAACATAATATACTCCAGGTCCATCCACATTGTCACAAAAAAGGAAGAGTTCCTTCTTTTTTGTGGCCAAGTAGTATTCTATTGTGTAAGTGTACCACAGCAACTTTTTTATCCACTCATCTACTGATGAGCACTTGAGCTGTTTCCACATCTTGGCTATTGTAAATAATGCTGCAGTGAACATAAAGGTGCATATATTCTTTCAAATTAGTGTTTCAGGTTTCTCTAGATATAGTCTCAGAAGTGGAATTGCTGAGTCAAAAGGCAGTTCCATTTTTAATTAAAAAAAAAATCCTCACCCAAGGATAAGTTTATTGATTTTAGAGAGGGAAGAAGGAAACGAGAGAGAGAGAGAGGAGAGAGAGAGAGACATTGGTGTGAGAGAGAAACATTGGGGATTAAAACCACAAACCATGTATGTGCCCTGACAAGAGATTGAAGCTGCAACCTTTTGATGTATGGGAAGATGTTCCAATCAACTGAGCTACCTAGCCAGGGCCATTTTTAATTTTTTGAGGAAATTCAAGACTGTTTCCCACAGTGGCTGCACTAGTCTGCATTCCCACCCACAGGGCATTGGGATCCCCTTTTCTTCACATCCTTGCCAGCAATTGTTGATTTATTGATGATAGCCATTCTGACAGGCATGAGGCAATATCTCATTGTGGTTTTAATTTGCATCTCTCTGATGATTAATGACATTGAGCATCTTTTCATATCGGCCATAGGTATGTCTCTTTGGAGAAGTGTCTATTCACATCCTTTACCCATTTTTTTAATCACTTAGCATTTTAGTTTTTAAAATTTCCATGCTGTCATATAGTGATATTAATTGCCATTTTAGGAACCATATAATACTCCAGCAAGTTTTTGTTTCATAATTTAGCTAACCATTTCCATACTACTGAACATTTAAGCCATTTGTCTGTTCTCAGTTGTTCTAGAGAGAATGGCAAAGAACTTGATGTGTATAAATTTTGCTTTTCTTTTGAATCAATTTTACTTAAAGAGATAATTTTCTGGAAATCTTGTTTTTATTTCTGGAAATCTGGGTCAAAGGATATGAATTTTTTTATGACTCTTGTTAATTATTACTAAATTGCTTTCCAAAAGGTTGAACAAATTCTCAAAACCATGCCCCAACTCCATGGTATTATTGCTGAGATTTTCAGTAAAGGACAGGCAGTACAAAAGGTCTGTTCGGTGTTCTGTGACAGGCAGAAGAAATACATTCAAATGGACTAGTCTTCTTTATTTTTTTATTTTTTATTGTTGACACTTTAACAGGTGTCCACCATTTTTCCTCACTTTGCCACCTCCACCCAGCCCCGACCCACCCCTCCTCTGGCCTCTACCACATTGTCTGTGTCCATGAGCTACGCATGTATGTTCTTTAGCTAACCTCTTCATCTTCTTTTATCCAGTCCCCCCTATTTCCTCCCCTCTGACATTTGTCAGTGTGTTCCATGTATCCATAATGCTTCAGCTTTGTTTTGTTCATTAGTTTATTTTGTTCATTATAGTCCATATATTAGTGAGATTATATGGTATTTATCTTTCTCTGATTGGCTTATTTTGCTCAGCATAATAATCTCCAGGTCCATCCATGCTGTCACAAAGTGTAAGAGTTCCTTCTTTTTTACAGCCACGTAGTATTCTACTGTGTAAACGTATCACAGCTTTTTTATCCACTCATCTACTGATGGGAACTTGGGCTGTTTCCAGATTTTAGCTATTGTAAGTAATGCTGTTATGAGCATAGGGGAGCATATATTCTTTCTGATTGATGTTTCGGGATTCTTAGGATATATACCTAGCAGTGAGATCACTGGGTCAAAAGGCAGTTGCATTTTTAATTTTTGAGGAAACTCCACACTGTTTTGAAAAATAGCCATACTAGTCTGTATTCCCACTAACAGTGCACTAGTGTCCCCTTTTCTCCATATCCTCACTAGCACTTGTTTGTTGACTTATTGATAGTAGTCATTCCGGCAGGTGTGAGGTGATACCTCATTTTAGTTTTAATTTGCATCTCTCTGATGATTAGAGATGGTGAGCATTTTTTCATATGTCTAATGGCCATCTGTATGTCCTCTTTGGAGAAGTGTTTATTCAAGACCTTTGCCAATTTTTTAATTGGATTGTTTGTTTTCTTGATGTTTAGGTGTTTATACATTTTGGAAATTAACTCCTCATCAGATGCATCAGTGGTAAATAGTCTTATGTTCTCCCATTCAATGGGTTGCTTTTTCATTTTGTTGATGGTTTCTTTTGCTGTGCAAAGAGGTTTTTAGTTTGACGTAGTCCCATTTGTTTATTTTTTTTTTCCTTTGTTTCCCTTGCCTGAGAGGCTATATTGGCAAAAATACTGCTACAAAAAATGTCTGAGATTTTACTGCCTATCTTTTCTTCTAGGATTTTTATGGTTTTGCGACTTACATTTAAGTCTTTGACCCATTTTGAGTTTACTGTTGTGTAGGTGTAAGTTTGTAGTCTAGTTTTTGGGGTTTTCTTTGTATGCGTCTGTTCAATTTTCCCAGCACCATTTATTGAATAGACTGCCTTTACCCCATTGAATGTTCTTGCCTCTTTTGTCAAATATTAGTTGACCGCATAAGCATGGGTTTATTTCTGAAATCTTTGTTTTGTTTCATTGATCTACATGCCTGTGCTTATGCCTATACCATGCTTTTTTTATTACAATGGCTTTGTCAGGTAGTGTGATACCTCTAACTTTGTTCTTATTTCTAAAGATTGCTAAGGCTATTCAGGTCTTTTGTGATTCCATATAAATTTTTGGAATATTTTTCTAGATCTGCGAGATATGTCATTGGTATTTTAATAGGAATTGCATTGAATCTACAGATTGCTTTGGGTAGTATGGATATTTTAATGACGTTAATTCTTCCTACCCATGAATATGGTATATGCTTCCACTTATTTGTATCTTCCTCAATTTCTTCAATATACTATAATTTTCTGAATATCAGTCTTCTACCTCCTTTATTAAATTTATTCCTAGGTACCTTATTTTTTTGTTGCAATAGTAAATGGAATTATTTTCTTCATTTCTCTTTCTGGTAGTTCATTACTGGTGTATAAAAATGCCACAGATTTCTGAACATTAATTTTGTATCCTGTTACTTTACCAAATTTATATATCAGTTCTAATAGTTTTTTGGTGGAGTCTTTAGGGTTTCTTATATACAGTATCTTATCACCTGCAAATAATGCCAGTTTTACCTCCTTTCCAATTTGAATGTCTTTTATTTCTACTTCTTGTCTTATTGCTGTGGCTAGAACTCGCAATACCATGTTGAATAAGAGTGGTGAAAGTGGACATTTCTGTCTTGGTCCCGATCTTAAGGGGAACTTTTTAGTTTTTGCTCATTGAGTATAATGTTGACAGTGGGTTTGTTATATAAGGGCTTTATTATGTTGAGGTATGATCCCTTTATTCCCACTTTGCTGAGAGTTTTAGTCATAAATGGGTACTAGATTTTCATCAAATGCCTTTTCTGCATCTGTTGATGTGCTCATGTGATTTTTATTCATTTTGTTTATGTCATCACTTACTGATTTGGGAATATTGTACCAACCCTGTATCCCCAGAATAAATCCCACTTGCTTATGGTTAGTGGTCTTTTTAATGTATTGCTGGATCTGTTTTGCCAATATTTTGTTGAGGATCGTAGCATCTATATTCATCAGGGACATTGGCCTATAATTTTCTTTCTTTGTAGTGTTTCTATCTGATTTTGGAATTAGGATAATGCTGGCCTCATAAAATGAGCTTGGAAGTCTTCTCTCCTCTTGAATTTTTTGGAATAGTTTCAGAAGGAGAGGATAATAACATTCTTTGAATGTTTGGTAAAATTCACCTGTGAAGCCACCTGGTCCAGGACTTTTGATTCCTGAGAGTGTTTTATTATTACTTTGATTTCATTAGTTGTAATTTGTCTATTCAGATTTTCTGATTGTTCCTGATTCAGTTTCAGAAGATTGTATGTTTCTAAGAATTTATCCATTTCTTCCAGGTTGTCCAATTTGTTGGCATATAGCTGTTCATAATATTTTCTTACAATCCTTTGTACTTCTGTGGTGTCCCTTGTTATTTGTCCTCTCTCATTTCTGGTTTTATTTGGGTCCTCTCTTTTTTTTTGATGTGTCTGGTTAAAGGTGTGTTGATCTTGCTCATATTTTCAAAGAACCAGCTCTTGGTTTCATGATCTTTTGGTTTTTTTGTTGTTGTTTTGCTTTGTTTTTTATTTTTTTATTTTTTTTTTAGTCTCTATGCCATTTAGTTCCACTCCTACTTTGATTATTTCCTACCTTCTAGTTATTCTGGGGTTTGTTGGTTGTTCTTTTTCTAGTTCTTTTAGGTGTAGGGTTAGAGTGGTTATTTGAGATTTTTCTTCTTTAGGTAGGCCTGTAAAGTTGTGAATTTCCCTCTCAGGACTGCTTTTTCTGTATCCCATAGATTTTGGGTTGTTGTATGTTCCTTTTCATTTATCTTCAGGTAATTTTTTTCCCCTTTATCTCATTGTTAACCCATTTATTGTTTAATGACATGTTATTTGACCTCCATGTGTTTGAGTGTTTTTCAGTTTGTTTTTTTATTGTAATTGATTTCTAGTTTAATACCATGGTGGTCAGAGAAGATGCTTGATATGATTTCAGTCCCCTTGAATTTATTAAGATTTATTTTGTGTTCTAACATGTGGTCTATCTTAGAGAATCTTCTGTGTGCATTTGAAAAGAATGTATATTCTGCTGTTTTGGAATGAAATGTTTTGTAAGTATCAATTAAATCCGTCCAGCCCAAAAGAAAAAAATGCATCCGATCCTCTGTGTCATTTAAGGTCATGTTGCTTTGTTGATTTTTTGTCTCGAAGATCTGTCCATTGACGTCAGTGGGAAGTTAAAATCCCCTGCTGTGACTGTAGTGCTGTCATTCTCTCCCCTAATGCCCACCTAGATTTTCGTTAAGTATTTAGGTGCACCTATGTTTGGTGCATTTATGTTTACAAGTGTTCTATCTTCTTGTTGTGTCAATCCCTTTTTATTATGTAGTGTTCTTCTTTGTCTCTTGTTATGGACTTTATTTTGAAGTCTGTTTTGTCTGATATAAATATTGCTATCCCATTTTTTTATTTTTTGTTTCCATTTTCATGGAATTTTTTTTTCTTTCATCTCTTCACTTGTAGTCTGTGTCTGTCTTTTGTTTTGAGGTGGGTCTCTTATAGACAGCATTTATGTGGGTCATATATTCTTATCCATTCAGCTACCATATGTGTTTTGATTGGAGCGTTTAATCCATGTACATTTACAGTTATTATTGATTGGTATTTACTTATTGCCATTTTATTTTTTATGCTTATGTTCCTCACTCTATGTATATATTTCTTTTTTACTTTCTTCTTCTGAAAGAAGGCACTTTAACATTTCTTGGAATACTGCTTTTGGTGGCAATGAACTCCTTCAGCTTTTTTTTTTTTTTTTTTTTTTTTTTTTTTTTTTGTCTGAGAAGCTCTTTATTTCACCTTCAATTTTCAATGATAGGCCTGCTGGATAGAGTAGTCTTGGTTGTAGGTCCTTGCTTTCCATCACTTTGAATATTTCATGCCATTCCCATTCCTTCTGGCCCGAAGTGTTTCTGTTAAGAAATCAGCTGACAGTCTTATGGGAACTCCCTTATAGGTAACTAATCCTTTCTTTCTTGCTGCTTTTAAGATTACCCTTTTGTCTTTAATCTTTGCCATTTTAATTAGGTGTCTTGGTGTGGGCCTCTTTCGATTCATCTTGATTGGGACTCTCTCTGCCCTTCCTGGAATTAAGTGTCTTTTCCCTTTGCCAGCTTAGCATCCCTGCCGTATTTTAATTCATCACCAAGCATCCATGGATCTATTCAAGTCTTTTCTCAGTTTCCAAGTGGGTTGTTTGTTTTCTTTAATTATTTTTGGAGTTATTTATGTATTTTGTATAGAAGTCCTTTATCAGATTATGATTTGCAAATATTATCATCTGTAGCTCACCTTTTTTTTTTTTTTGCTTTCTACTGTCTTTTGACATAAAATTTATATAAGTCCAATTTATCAGTTTTCTTCTTTTATTCTTTACTGGTCTGGTGGCATGTCTAAGAATCCTCCCCCTAAACCAAAGTCATGAGAAATGTCTCCTATGTTTGTTTTCTGCAATATTGTGTGTGTGTGTGTGTGTGTGTGTGTGTGTGTGTAGCTAATAGCTATGACAAGATTTTAGAACGATTTAAATTCACCGCAACATTGAGTGTAAAATGCATAAGAGTTCCCTTTTTCTCTACATGCGCAACTATCCCCACTGTCAACATCCTACACCAGAATGGTGCATTTGTTACAATCAGTTAACATATTGGCACATTATCACCCAAAATGCATTATTTGCATTAGGGTTATTAGCTCTTGGTGTTGTACAATCCATGGGTTTTGAGAAGTGTGCAATGACATGTATCCACTCTTTAATATCACACAGAATAGTTATACTGCTCCAAAAGTCTTCTGGGTTCTGCCCATTCATCTTTCCCCTCCCTACAACTCTTGGCAACCACTGATAATTTTTTACTATCTCCTTAGTTTTGCCTTTTCTAGAATGTCATATAGTTGGAATCATGATCTGTAACCTTTTGATATTGACTTCTTTCACTTAATAATTTGCATTTAAGGTTTTTCCTTGTATTTTCATTGCTTAATAGCTCATTTCTTTTGAGTGCTGAATAATATTTCTTTGTTTGAAGCTGCTATAAGAATCTATAATCAAAATAACAAAAAAAGTCTATGATCAGATTTATGTGTGAACATGAGTTTTCAACTCATTTTGGTAAATACCAAGGGATGTGGTTGTTGGATCATATAAGAGCATGCTTAACTTTGTAAGGAACTGCCAAACTGACGTGTCTGACTATGGACATTGCCCTAGAGGATGAAAACCTCTGGGGCACCAAATTGTTTTTAAAAAACTGTTGCAAATATTGGGGTCCTTTACTTAAGGTAAGTGTATTGTAATAGTGACAACATCTGGGCCCAGAAGGAATGGCCACTCAAAGTCAATTTTCTCCTCAGCCCACAGGTCCTGCCTCCCCAGGAGCAAGAAACATCAAGTGAAGGAATGAGGGAAGAAAGAGGAGGTTCTTTGACTTGGATATCATCATTTCTGGGGACAACTTTAACTGGACACCTAGATTTCTGCTGCTAAGAACTTCATGGCAGATGCAGAAGAGACAAAAGGCATAGAATCCATGTTACTGAGTATTTCCTGAGCACAGAAGAACATGATGGAAGCCCAGGTGATTTTTGCTTTGTTTTACCTTTTCCTTGTTTTTGTACAGGTTTTTGGTGTCCTGAAAAAAAAGTGAGTTCAACTGGAAAGGTATAAATTGGCATATTTGGGTTCTCAAAGATATTAACTTATACTCTAAATTCAAAATAAGGGCAAAATGAGATCAAGAAAATATTGTTCCTGTGAGTCATACATATTGAAACATAATGTGTGGTGTGGTTGATTCTATGGGTCACATTAGCTGTCACTTTGCGTCTAGTATCTGCGTTCTGTGAGCTGTGCTAGCCAATGATTGAACCTTAGGAGAAGGTTATGGGAAACTTCAGTTTGTAGTCAACTCAGACAGTGGGTTACCTGGAGACCCACTACTTAACAATTGGTGTCTGAAGTGTGGGCTGTCTCATGGGACTGAGCCCTTAACCTGTGGCGTCTGCAATAACTCCAAACAGTTCATGCCAGAATTTCTTGGTGTGGAAAACTCACACATCTGGACACAGAAGTGTTCTGTGTCAGTGTGCAAAGGAAAACAGAAGTGTGTTTTTGCCAGAGAGGTGCCTAACAAATTACTCCAAAACTTAGCCACTTCAAACATGTTTTTTACCTCACTCTTTCTCCGGGTTACTTAATACTAGCATGACTTACCTGGTTTGTATTCTTTTTGCCCAAATACTTCTGACACCAAATGAGAAAGTTTTGATTCTTCCTGAATCAAAATATGTGGTGTCTTTTCTAATACCACTTTCCAGCTCGCTGACACTAAGTAGCTCATCAGATTACACAAGTTTAGGGGTTCAGACTTGCAAGAATGTTCCCAATTTCATTTACAAATGAATGCCAATTACAATTCTTGGGTTTCCTGTACTTCCGACTGACCTCTTATAAATTCGGGGTTTCCATAAGCCTTCCCTCAGGTTTGGTAATCTGCTAGAACAACTCACAGAATACAGGGAAGCACTTTACTTACATTTACAGTAGGCTTATTCTAAAGGTTATAGCTCAGAAACAGTAAAATGAAAGAGATGCAGAGGGCCAGGTATCAGGGTGCACCCCTCTTTCAGCACCTCAAGGAGTTTACCAACTTGGAAGCTTACTGAACTTAGTTTTGTGGAGGTCTCATTCATTGGGTATAGTTGATAAAATCATTGGCCGTTAGGTTTGAATTTAATATTCAGCTCCTCTGTCCTTTTAGTGAGTTTTGTGGGTGGGGCTAAATGTTCCAACCCTTTAATCAATCTTTTGTTCCTCTGGTAACCAACCCTCTCCCAGAAGCTAACCAGCCCCTGTCCCCAGGAGTCACCTCATTAGCATACAAAAACTACTTATCACTCTTGGGATTCTAAACATTTAGAACTGTGTCTTCCAGGAACCAGGGACAAAGATCAACTTTATTTTTTTAAGTCCTATTACTGCTGTGTACTTTGTTGTAGTCTCTTAGGTAGCAGTAAGCCAAAGTGGAGTCTGATCTGAAGACTCAAGTGGGGAAGGATACACTTTGAAGATTATGTAGTTGTTGGCAGAATTCACTTTCAGAAGGACTGGTCAAATGAGATCCTCTGTTTCTCCCTGTCTGCTTATGTAAACCAACATGCCACCTCATTTCATCAAGTCAGTAAAGAACGGATTCCCATGGCAAGATGGATGTATTTATAGCCTAGTTGTAAAACTGGCATCCTATCACTGTAGTTATATTCTTTGTTTTAGAAACAATTTACTAGGCCAGCCCATGCTCAAGGCTAAGGTACCACACAGGGGTATGAATACCTTAGAGCATAACAGGGAATTTGCCTGACTTTTGTCCCTTATTTTTGGGAAGTTACCTCTAAATCCTTGGAATTACCTGTGTAGTAGGAGTTATTCATTTAGGGGCCACTGGCACCATACTTTATACTCTGTGCTGAAGAGGTGACTCAAAATGAAGGGTGTCCATCCCAGTAGCCAGCCATGTGATTAGAAGGTGGAAACTTTGAGCCATTTGACATTAGTCTGACCTCCAGGAAAAGGAAGGACCTGGAGATTGAGTCCAGCCACATGGTCAATGATTCAATAAATCATGCATGTATAATGAAGCCTTAGTAACAACTCTGGATGCCAAAGTGTGGGTGAGTTTTCTTGAGTATCTCCAATATTCAAGGACTGTCCCACGTGGTATCTGGGAGGAAATAAAGGCTGTCTGGCAGTTTATGAAGAGAGTCACAGGTATCAATACCAAATGGCCTTCATGTCTGGCCTTTCCGGCACAAAGTTTCAGAACTTTGAAGATAACATTCCATTGTTTTCTGTGTTCTATTGTTTCTGTTTAGGTAATCTGTCTTTTACATCTGGATACTTTTTTTAAAGATTTTATTTATTCATTTTTAGAGGGATGGGAAGGGAGGGAGAAAGGGAGGCAGAGAAACATTGATATTTGAGAGATACATTGACCGGTTGTCTCTTGTACACCCCCAGCCAGTGACCTGGCTCACAACCCAGGCATGTGCCCTGACTGGGAATCGAACCAGTGAACCTTTGGTTCACAGGTTGGCACTCAGCCCACTGAGCCACACCAGCCAAGGCTGGGTACTTCTAGAGTTTCCCTTTTCCTATGATATATTATAGTTTCAGTCTGATGTGTCTAGGTATAGACATCCTGCTTGAAATTTGTTGGGATTTCTAAATCTGAAGTTAGGAGTATTTAATCAGTCCTGACATTTTTCAGCTTTTAGATCTTTGAATATTGCTTCTCCATTGCTATTTTCTATTTCAGAAACTATAAGCAGGCATACATTAAGTCTTTTTGTGCTATGTTCATATTTATTAACTTCTTCCTTATGTTTTCTCTCTGCTGTATTTATTTCTTCCATAGTGAACATAGTGATACAATATATATTTTAGTTCACTATAGTATATTTAATATACTGTTCATCTGTCCATTAATATATGTGTATGTGTGTATGTTTGCTCATGAAAAGGGTTTTTTCCCCCTCAAATCTTCCTAATCAACTTTTTTTTGCTTTAGACATATCATGTATAATATCTGTTATTTTTTACACTTATTAATAACATTTGTCTTGTAAATTCTGGATGTAGAGTTTCGTGGTAATTATTCTGATGTTATTTCTATATGACTATTTTTAATATTTGGAAATAGGTACTAAACTATATAGATACAAAGAATTTTGCTTCTACCAAAATATATTTGAGAAAGGTATATAGATGCAGGCTATGTGGTAAAAATTAGAATGACTTTCCTCACACATATTTCATATTAATAAAAAGAGTTGATATCATATTAAATAGCACTGTGTTATTACAGGAGTTGCTGACAATGGAGGATGTGGCCGTGGAGTTCAATTGGGAGGAGTGGCAGCTCCTGGACCCTGCTCAGAAAGACCTGTATCGGGACGTGATGTTGGAGAACTATCACAATCTGGTTTCACTGGGTAAGGACACCTCTCTGTGTCACTTTGAGGTCCCCAGTCAGTGGACTTTATTTACTCTGTCACTTGATGAAAGTTTTACAGTCACTGTGGTCATCTGAAGAGTCATATTTTCAGTCCCATTTCTGGTTTCATGCTAAGGGATATAAGCTCCTCTATCTTAAAAGACAACTTCTACTTTGCATATGAGAAATTGTTTTGTCTCTGAAATGTAATATTTTCCCATCTTGACATACTATACCCCAAGTTACTATATCTAGGTCTTCTATCATTTCTCATGAACAGGATACCATACTACCAAACCAGCTGCACTGTCCAAGTTGGAACATGGAGAAGAACCACAGATAACAGAGGATGAAATCTATAATATAAGCTGTGCAGGTGAGCGAGTGAGAACCAGCATGGGAGTGGCCATGAAAATTATATTCCAGTCATTAAGAGAATGAGTTACAGCTGTGAAGATGGCTGAGGCTAGCTAAACAGCTTTTCCACATATGTATCTCCCCAGATGAGAACTCTTTCCTGTGGGTGTTCTGTTATAAATATACTCTTAATCTCTTCTTGGATCTGATAGTCTTTCACCTTACATCTTTATGGAATGGTATGGTTGACAAAGAGCCAGCTCCCACCACATCATCTTTTAAGCACTTTTATTCTAAGACATTCTCATGAAAGAATTTGTTATTCTCTTTTTTCTAGAAATCAGGAAAGTTGACAGTTGCCTGCAAGATCATTCTCACAACCAAAAGGTTCAGAAGAACATGCAACAATGCAGTGAAAGGAATGCACCTAGAAATACTATTCATCTGAACAAAACAAATATGACCATAATGCAAAATCATATGTTGGAATTATGTAAGAAAGCTTTTAAATCAAGGTTAAGTTTAATTAACCAGAAGAGAAGATATGAGGTAAAGAACCCAGCTGAGTTTAATGGACATGAGAAATCCTTTTTCCATGGTAATCATGAACAATGGTACCCTGAAATTGAAATCCCTGAAAGTGAAAAACACATCACCACTGAATTCCGAGTCTTTAAGCAACAAAATACTCATAAAATAGAGAGGTCCCAAGAAAGCATTGAAGGTGAGAAAGCCTGCATCAGGACACCTTGGCTCATTTACCATGAGGGCATTCATACAGGAGAGAAAACCCATGGGTGTGATCCATGCGGGAAATCCAGAAATTTCATGGTCACTAAACATCAGAAAACTCAATCACAAGACAAACTCTGTATAACCAATGAATACAAAAAGGACCCTCCTGTGAAGAGTAGTCTCACCAGACATCAGCAAACCCATTCAGGAGAGAAATACTGTGTTTGTAGTGACTGTGGGAAGAGCTTCACTATGAAGCGCTATCTGATTGCACATCAGCGAACTCATAGTGGAGAGAAACCTTATGTGTGCAGTGAATGTGGGAAAGGCTTCACTGTGAAGAGTAATCTCATTGTGCATCAGCGAACTCATACAGGGGAGAAACCCTATATATGCAGTGAGTGTGGGAAGGGTTTCACCATGAAACGTTATCTTGTTGTTCATGAGCGAACTCACACTGGAGAGAAACCCTATTTATGTGATGAATGTGGAAAATGCTTTGCTGTGAAGGGTAATCTCATTGTTCATCAGCGATCTCATACAGGGGAAAAATCTTATATATGTAGTGAGTGTGGAAAAGGCTTCACCGTGAAGCGCAAGCTCACTATACACCAGCGAATTCATACAGAAGAGAAATCGTACATATGTGATGAATGTGGAAATGGTTTCACCACAAAGCACACTCTTATTATTCATCAACGAAGTCACACAGGAGAAAAACCCTATGAGTGCAAGGAATGTGGGAAGGCTTTTACCAGAAGGTCAGGGCTTAATGTCCATCTAAGAACTCATACAGGAGAGAAACCCTATGGATGCAGCATTTGTGAGAAAGCCTTCTCCCAAGTGTCAAACCTTCTAAAACATAAGAAAATGCACACAAGAGAAATGAGTAGATTCAGTCAAGTTGGAAATTCCTCTAATGGAGAGTCACAGCTTATTACTTACAAGTGAACTCATGCAGAATAAAACCCCTATTTATGCAATTTTTGTGGAAATGCCTTCTGTGGCAACCAAGATCTCATTAGCATCAGTATTTCTAGCAGATCAGAATACAAACATGGTACTGCCTGTTGTCTGATGTATGCCCTGAGGAGATTAAGGAATTTGTCCAGGAGATAAACCTTGTGAATAGACTGACTATGGTAGTGCCTTTAGTGATCCTTACTTCACATCTTCTGTTGGTGAAAATAATGTTGGAAACACTCTGATACATGCAATGTGAAAATGCCTTTCCAGCTTCATTATAATTCTCAACAAAACTGTGTAGCTCCAATGTATTTCTGAAAAGTGTATACTGAGACAAATTCTGTGAATGCAGAGACAAAAAAACCTTCAGTGAGAAGATAGACTTTATTAACAGGGATTGTCATAGATCATCGGTGAGTTCACTGTTCATAGAAATATGAGAACACAAACAAAGAAACAAAGAAAAAACCAAAGAAATAGGGTAACCATAGGAAAGCCTTTACCCAGCCAGAAGACCTTGATGAGAGTCAGGGTTCACATTGGAGAAAAACATTAAGGACAATATATATTTTACAGGATTTCATGGATAAAATCTGTATTATTGTTTGTCAGGAAATCATACAGAAGTTAAAACTTTATGAAAATGCTAAATTTGGAGCGCCTTTATTCAAATATTGGAGAACTCATGAAGGAAAGAAGTTCTATGAGAAAGGATACAGTTTGAGTGCTTTTTAAATAAGTCTAACTTTTTCCATCAGATAATTCACCTGAGTTTGCCTTTTCAGGTGATAATTGGAGCCTCCTTTGTTAGTTGCCTTTTCAGTAATTCCACAGTTAAAAAGTAGTCTGTTTTCCTTTTTCCTGATTAATTTTTATTGTTATATGCAATACAGGAGTGTTCTGTGAAGTATTCTATGACCACTCCGTATTATATGATTAGCTCTTACTTTTCTTTGCCTCTAAACTTAATTGTAAATTTATCATACAGAAATAGTTTAAAAGGAAACTGAGTATTTTAAATTTATAACATATTTGTACTTGCCTAACTAAGTTTATAAGTATAACCAAATATTTCACAAAACCACCTTTAAAGTTATTTTTGTGAAATGTTTACTTTGAGATGATTTAGCTTACAAGAAATTGCAGAATAGTCCAGGGACTTCCCCTAGTATCTTTTATCCAACTTTTCCCTGTAAAAACATCTTATAAAACCATATTTTATTGAACCCAGGAAAATGACTTTGGTAGTATACTGTTAATGAAACTCCTAATCTTATTTAGATTTCTTTAGATTTTACATGTATTTTTTTTAAGTTTTTAGTTCTAAGATTTATTACCTTACATACATTCATATAACCGCAACCACAACCACAACAGAAAATTGCTTAATCAACAGATTCCCTCATGCTACTTTTTAAATTTCAACCATCTATCCAAACCTACCTCAGCAACCACTTGGCCTGTTTTCTATCAGTTTAATTTTGTCATTTTGTGAATGGTGTAAAAGTCATTTTTATAATTGGATTTTATATTAATAAGTTGTATTTATTTATACAAATTTATAATATTTTTTTTAATAGGAACCATGTAAGTTTTGCATGTTTTGGTCACTTGGCAAATTGCTCTTAAGAATTGAGTTGAAATAGTTTTATTTTATTTGTGTATAGTATATATACTAGATGAACTAGTTTAGCCATTCATTCTTTTCTTAAGTTATATTTTATTGATTATGCTATTGCAGCCGTCCCAATTTTTCCCCCTTTGCCCTACTCCACCCAGCACCACCCACTCCCTCAGGCAATCCCTGTACCATTGTTCATGTCCATGGGTCATGCATATAAGTTCTTTGGCTACTCCATTTTCTATACTGTACTTACACCCAATGGCTGTTCTGTAACTACCTATATGTACTTCTTAATACCCTCACTTCTTCACCCATTTCCCCACAGCCCCCTCCCATTAGGCAAACATCAAAACCTTCTCCGTATCCATGATTTTGTCTCTGTTCTTGTTTGCTTAGTTTGTTTTTTAGATTCAATTATTGATAAATATGTGTTTATTGCTATTTTATTGTTCATAGTTTTGATCTTTTTCTTAAATAAGTCCCTTTAACATTTCATATAAGGCCATTCACTCTTGAAAGAGATTTGTATTGTTTTCTTGGTTTCAGCTGTTATAAATAATAATGATACTATGAAATTTGCACACAGCGTTTTGTATGAATATAAATTTTCATTCTTCTACTATATATACAGGTGATGATTGGTGGGATATATGGTCAGTTATGTTAAGCTTTATAATAAATTACCAAACTCTCTTCCAGAATGGCTGTACTATTTTACATTATTACCAGCAGTGTGAAGTCTACTTGTTCCACATCCTCTCCAGCACTTGATATTTTCATTGTATTTTATTTTAGCCATTCTACTAGCAACACATGTGAGTTTTAATTGCTCTTCATCCCCTGTAGCACTTAGTATTGTCATTATATTTTACATTAACCATTTTAATAGGTATGTAGTAGTATCTGATCTTGAGCTTAACTTGCATTTTCCTAATGGCTAATGATGGTCAACAATTTATTTCTTTTTGTTAAGTTATTATTTTTGAACTTATTTAGCTCACAAGTAGAAGTTTGTACGTTTTGACCACCTTTACCCAGAATTGCTGGGTTGTATGGTAGGCCTGTTTTAAATTTTTTGAGGAATCTTTATACTGTCTTCCATAGTTGCTACATGAATTTACAGTCTCATTTTTTTTGTCTGTATATTGTTCATGAAGATACACCCCATGATTTATTTAACAAATTAGCTGATACACATTCATATCTATATTAGTTACCTTTGCATCATAAAACTATACCTCCCTAAAACTTAATACATAAAAACAACAAATATTTATTTATTTACTTACTTATTTAGTGGTCTGAGAGTTGGATTTCCTGTTGTGGACTGTCTCAGTTGGGGCTGCATGGTCAAGATGGGATTTTTCCACATATCTGAGCCTCCACTGTAATGATTGGCTCCCATTCTGCAAGAGGCTAGACCGGTTTCTATTGCAACGTGTTACAAGAGTTCCAAGAGACAAATAGAACATGTCTCAGTCAGCAAGTCAATGTTCATTCTCTGTGTCCCATTTGCTATTATACCATTGGACACATCGGTCAGTCACTATGGGGGATGTTACCCAAAATTGTGAATACAGAGATGCTAGAATAGTTCACGTAGCAATCACAAGGTTATTTATTTCTTTACAATTATTAAAATTGATGCTGTGAATACCTTACTACCTGTTTGTTCTCAAAAAGACAATTTCTACTGAATCAATTATTTAAATGGATTGGTGGCTCAAAGGAAATGAAGTTTAAATTCAGTAATTTCAGATTGTCTCCCCCAAACATTTTCCTACTTTATATACTCTAGGCTCAATCCTGCACCTGTAAAAACACACCAAATGTAATTGCTAATATTTATTAAATGTAGTATGCACTTTTTGAATTCAAAAAACAAGCATGGTAATGACATCTCCATTTAAAACTGTATGTGGTGAACAACACTATAGTGCTATAGTGGGGGGGAAAAATGAGACTTAACAAGCTTAGCATAATAGAATGCCATTATCCCATGACCTGCCATTCTGAATAATATTCATCATTCAATCTTTATGAATTTTAAGGGTTAAAGTTTGTTTCATGTTTACTTTGTATTTACTTAAATGTTAGTAAGACTGGCATTTAAAAATTGTTTTGATTATTTACGATTTTTAAAAATAAGTGAACTGTCATTTAGCTATTAAAAATCTAGGTTCATCTTTTCTTATTCCTTTTAAAATTGCAATAATAATTGCTAGTGAGTAATTGCAGAGAAGGGAAATCTCTGATACTGATGGTGGGAATTGAACATGATATGTTGAATATGGAAAGTAATTTGGCAATTACTCTTTCTCTATACCTCTTTATTATACACACAGGCATTTCATTTCCTTTCCCTCCAGTCTCCCAATATATATGCCAAGTTCAGTTGGTCCATATTTATGGCCTACAATACTATGACTTAGTTGATGCTATTGTAACGATCCCTGACAAGTTAGGCTCTCAGTTCATTCCCGCAAGTTAGATCCTCTGCTTTTCCCCTACTTAGGACTGGTTAAACTTCAGCTGTATTAACCTACCCTAATGCTTAAACTGTGGAGCTCAGCAATATTGTGACCAGTTTCTGAGTCATTAATGTGTGACCTACTCATCATCCAACAGTTTCTGAAGGACTAGAAACATTAACATAATGTTTCTGCTTCATTATAGAACAGACATGGCCACAGGGCAATAATTTACAAGCTTGCTTTGCATTAAATAATAGAGACTGAAGACCACCCCTGACGCAGGTGACCCTAGATGGTGTCTAGAGGCTGCTCCTTGAGATAGCAATTGGCTGAATACCACAGGAATTTACCCTAACTCCTCCTCCAGCTTCAAAACCCTTTAACTAGGCCAGCTACGCATTTGAGGCACTATTAGATCTTCCTTCTTTTCCGTTTTTGCCTCCTCAGTTAATAAGCCTTACTTCAAACTCGACATTTTGAGTTAGGTGACACTATTAGTAATTGACATATGTAGTATAACAGGACTTATTCTCCCGTAAACTGTCATATTTCCCTAATTTTAGGTCATTGGTTTACCCCAGCGTCCAAAGGGAAAGCTCTGTCAAGGCCCCGTCCTTCTATTGGGTCCTGATCTTTCCTGGCTTTGCCTAGTTTCTATTGGCCTTTTCCCCATGATTCACTTTATGGCCACCACCCGTCTGCCGTCAGAGTTTCTCCAGCCCCCCTTCTCTGTTCAATTTCCACTCTTCTCTGTCCAGCCAAATTCTACTAGAAACTCTACTGAGATTCTCAAGAGTGAACCCGTGTTGTAGGGGCCCCTACACTCCCTGTAAGATGTTTGCCCCGCCCCCGCACTGTTTCCTGTTTTGTGCGGAGTAAACGTCGCTTGCTGTTTCAATTTGTTAGCTACTGGCAGCCAGTGCACATAAGTTGTTTGTTTTTTTTAAAGATTTTTTAAATTTATTTTTAGAGAGAGGGGAAGAGAGGGATAAAGACCAGGAGACACGTACCCACATGCGGTAGAAACATAGATGGGTTTGCTCTCACACCGCCGGAACCAGGAACCTGCCCCACAACCTAGGCATGTGCCCTGACCGGCAATCCAGCTGGGGACCTTTCAGATTGTGAGATAATGCTCACCCACTGAGCCACACCAGGCAGGGCACATATGTTCTTTTTTGAATCAAGGGTTGAGGTGCCAGGAAAAGGGACACGTTCGGTGACATTTCATCTTTCCCTGCTATCCCTGCTCACTGGCTCAAAATCGGCCCTCTTGCACTCAGTGCCTCCGTTCTTCCAAGGTGACCGCCCCCATGGGCCCACCGAGAAGGCGCAGACACGTTGCCTCTGTGGAAAAACCGGAAACCGGTTATTTTCACTGCAGAATCACCTGAAGCACGTGAGCCCCTCTTTGGCGGTTATGAGAGAAATGTGCAAAGTTCAGCGAACTACATTCTGCTTGCTGCTGGCAGGTCGTGGTGATTCTGGAAGAGTCAGGTCAGCGTCCGGGTCTCTGCTTGGAGAGTGGAGGGATGATCTGTCGGTGTTCACCTTTGGTGATGCAAGTAGCATTACAGGGGAGCCCTAAGGGATCCTTAACGAGGGATGTGCGTGCTATTGGGGGTGCCCGTCTGTGCTCTTGTGGTTAAAATCGTAGAGGTAAATGACTTAGGCCCCATGGCACATTTTGGGGTTTTCACTCTGTGGGGCTCAGTGATAAAGAATTGGATAATGACGTTAGTCAGTGAATGCTGTATGTGGCTTGGGTTTCTTTGGGGTCCAAATGATGGATGAACTGTTTCCGAGCCAGTGTACCGGGGCGGTGGGAGTAAGCATCTGGGGTTCTGAGGCATTGTGGGCTTATAATTTGGAGGCCCTGATACCTAGGGCTGTGTGTGCGGAGCTCAAACTTTGGCTGCTGCAACAGATTTAATGTACGTTCACCGTTACCTACTGCCCCTGAGGTCCAAGGCCGTTTTTTTCACCACTAGATTTGGCACCCAATAGTTGCCGGTGAAAACGTGGGGTTTTTGTTGTTGTTGCTGTTGCTGTTGTTTTCCCGAGGTTCAGAGAAAGGAATTTCAAATGGCACATTCGTGGAAAAGTTTAATTTTGGTGGCAAAATTTTATTAGGGTTAAGGAAAATAGCACACCTTTGGGAAGGGTTCAACATCAACGGTCAGGAGGCTCCTGTTAATCCTCCATATATTTTCTGGGTTCTCGATAAGGTACCATTCAAACTATCCAATCCATCTTCTTGGTTCTTCCGAGGCTTGAGTTGGGCCCTCCTCCTAACCCCTCCTGTTCTTGGACCTACCGGGTTTTACGCCCAGTATTCAGTTGATTACCTTTCTAGTCTTTCCCAGGCTAGGCTCTGCTCCTTTATGTCGACATTTTGACTCTTTCTGTGCATGACCAAAAGTAACCACTCCCTGTGCCATATTGACTTATATTGCACAAGTCAAAAAGTTCCAGTTTGCTTTCTGGGTTCTGCTGCACTCGTGCCCGTCAGAGGATTTTTCTGTTTCCTCCGCCCGGGATAATCCAGGAAGCGCTGGAGATTTCCTGTGTTCTCTGAGGGTTGTCTCTGAGGTCATCCCCTGGAGCGTGTGAATGAGTCTGTTTATGGATAGCTTCCTAGCAAACTTAATGGTATGCGGTCCTAAAATCTGATTTAGTGTCCCAGTTTCACAAGCTTAACATTTGTTTTTTTAGTCCTTACCTGAGGACATTTTAAAATTGCTTTTAGGAAGAGAGGAAGGGGGAAAGAGAAACATAATGCGAGAGAGAAACATAGATTGGTTGCTTCTTGTAGGATCCCCAACCAGAAGAGAACCCACAGCCTAGGCATGTGCCCTGAACGGGAATCAAAACTGCGACCTCTCAGTGTACAGGATGACACTCCAACCAACTGAGCCATACCAGCAGGGCTTAAGCTTAATATTTGATTCAGCTTTCTAGTATATTATGCTCAATGTCTTATTTTCTGCCCACCCCTTTTTTTTAAAGATTTTATTTTATTTTTTTTTTAAAGGGGAAGGGAGGGAGAAGGAGAGATCATCAATGTGTGGTTAAACCGCCCCTCAAACCACCTTCCCCCCTCCCCCACTGGAGACCTGGCCTGCAGCCTAGTCATGTGCCCTGACTGGGAATCAAACCAGTGACCTTTTGGTTCACAGTCTGGCGCTCAATCCACTGAGCCACACCAGCCAGGGCATGTTTGTTAATTTATTGATGATAGCCATTCTGACAGGTTTGAGATGATATTGAGGTTTAATTTGCATTTCTCTGATGAATAGCAATGTTGAACATCTTTTCATATGTCTGTGTATTGGCCATCTATATATCCTCTTTGGAGAAGTGTCTGTTCAGGTCCTTTTCCTATTTTTTAATTGGGTTGTTTGTTTGGGGTTTGTTTGTTGTTTGTTTTTGGTGTTGAGTTTTGTAAGTTCTTTTCAAATTTTAGATATTAATCCCTTATCAGATGTATTAGCAAATGTATTCTTCCTATCTGTTATCTTTTTTTGATGTAGTCCCATTTGTTTATTTTTTCTTTTTTTTCCATAGCCTAGGGAGATATATCTGATAAAATATTCATAAGTACAAGATTTTGCTGCATATGTTTTCTTCTGTTTTTATGGTTTTGGATATAACATTTAAGTCTTTAGTCCATTTTGAATATATTCTTGTGTGTCATGTGAGAAGGTGGTCTAGTGTCATTATTCCACACCTGTCTGTCCAATTTTCCCAACACCACTTATTGAATAAACTCTTTTTAGCTCATTTTATGTGCTTGCTTACTCTATCAAATATTAATTGACTATAAAGTTGTGGGCTTATTTCTGGGTTTCCTATTATGTTCCATTGATTTATGTGTCTGTTTTTATGCCAGATACATAGATCATGCTGTTTTGATTACTATGGCCTTATAGTATAGTTTGATATTAGGTAGTGTGATTCCTCCAACTTTGTTCTTTTTTTCTCATGATTGCTGTTGCTATGTGGGACCTTTTGTGGTTTCATATAAATTTTTGAAATATTTGTTCTAGTTCTGTGAACTGTGTCATTGGAATCTTGATAGGAATTGCACTCAATCTATAGATTGCTTTGAGTAGTGTGGATATTTTAATGATGTTAATTCTTCCTATCCATGAACATGGTATGTGCTTCCATTTATTCCATTTGTCTTCAATTTCTTTCTTGATTGTATGAAGAGTTGTTTAAATGTTCATCAGTGCACTCATACAGGAGAGAAACCTTATATATGCAAGGAATGTGCATAAGGCTTATTTGGGAGAAGTATGCTCATTGCACAACTGTGAATTCATACAAAGAGAAACTTTCCACACTTACTCATAAATTAGTATGGAAAGAGCTCACCATGAAGAGTACTCTAGATATTCATGAGCAATGTTATACTGCAGAAATGCCGTACAAATGCTAGGAATTTGGTGAAGGCTTTATGAAGAAGACATGCCTCATACTACATTAGATATTTTACCCAGGAAAGACTTCCTTTGCATGTACTGAATGTGGAAAATTCTCATTGAGCAAAAATGATCTCATTACCCAGCAGAGAATTCACACAGGTGAGAAACCTGATAAGTGTAATAAATGTGGGAAAGCCTTCATTACAAAGACAGGTGTCAAAGTTCATAAAACAAAACACACAAGAGCGAGGCCCTATGGGGGCAGCGATTGTGTAAAAGCTTTTGCCCACTTGTCAGTTCTTGTAAAACATAAGAGAATTCACAGGCAGTTACTTTGGGGAAAGCCTGTTACCAGTTGTAGTTCCTATTATTATTCATAATATTATCTGATGAATTAAAGAATGTTGCCTCATCATTTGCCAGGAAATCCATCGAGAAATAACTCATAAACACTTTCAGTTTGGTTGTGTTTATCAAAACCTCAGATAACTTACTGAAGGAAAGAGGCTTTAAATTGAAAAGCATCTGTCACAGGTCTAAGATAATACACCTCACAAGCAATTCGGGACAAGATACCGACTGGTGTATTTTGAGTTGCCTTGCCCTTGATTTATATAAGTTTTAAATAGTGGCAGTTAACTCTCATCATGGATTAAATTTTAATATCTGCAACACTAGAGTGTTCTGTGCCTGTTTCATTATGTAGTTAAGTTTTGCGTTTTTTAGTTCCAAATCACTTATTTCAGAATACTTCAAGTACTTGAAAATGATACTGCATATAATCATTTCATAAGTATAACAGCATATTTAGATGTGTTTTACATTTATATGTAGCATTAAGTGGTTTATAAAATTACTATAAATACGGTGTTATTTATAACACTTAATTTTGAAATAAGTTTAGAATCACAAAAACTGAAACTTTCTAGAGATTTCATAAATGCTCTTCAGATAGCTTACTCCTAAAGGTAATCTTTTTCAGGGGTGACCAACCTTTTGTTATCTATGAGCCACACTGGAAGAAGAAGAGTTGTCTTGGGCCACACACTAAATACATTGCAACATGTAATCACAAAAAAATCTCATAATGTTTTGACTAAGTTTACGAGTTTGTGTTGAGCCACATTCATAGCCATCCTGAGCCACATGCAGCCCGCAGGCCGCAGTTTGGACGCCCCTGCCATAGTCACAGTTCATTATCAAAGAGAGAAAAGTGAAATTGTTACAGTGCTGTTAACTGCAGGATTTATTTGTATCTCCAGTTTTAACATGCATTCATTTTTGTTTGCTTTTTATATATAGTTTTAAGAAACTATCACATATGTAGGTTCTTGTTACCAACACTACAGTAGAAATGCAAAATTTTTTGTTATCAGTAACTCCCTCATGTTACCACTTCATAGTCATGTTCTTTCCCTGACTCGAACCCTTGGCATCACAGCTGTCTTGGTATCTGATTTTCTCATTAATAGAGTATTAGAAAAATGGAATCACTTAGCATGTGTCTTTTTGAGATTGCCTGTTTGACCTTGTGAGATATAGAAAATGCATACATACTGGTCTCTGCCCCCAGTTCCTGGCACAAGAGCTGCTGAAACTTTTGTAAATTTTTTTTTAAAGATTTTAAGTCTTTATTTTTAGAGAAAGAGGGAAAGGACAGGAAAAAGGGAGCGAGAGAAGTATCAATGTGTGGTTTCCTGTCACACGCCCCCTACTAGGAACCTGGCCTGCACCCCAGGCACATGGCCTGACTAGAAATCAAATCGGTGACCCTTTGGTTCACAGGCTGACACTCAATCCACTGAGCCACACGAGCCAGGGCTAAATTCCTTAGTGATAACAGTACTAGGAGCTCCTTTTGTTCTGTCAAAGCTACTCTGGTTGGAATGTTCAGCTCCACCCCACACATCTAGAAAGAGGCAATGGGCTGGAAATACGGTTAATGATCAATCATGGCTACTTAAGGAAGCCTTTGTAGAAATCTCAGTATGAGGGAGTTTAGAGAACACATCCAAGTATTGGTCGAGTGATGCACCCTAACTTCATGGGGACAGAAGCTCCAGTGCTTGAACCCCCTTAGACATGCTCTTCATCTCTTCATCTGGCTGCCATCTGTAACCTTCATCTGGCTGCTCATATCTAACTTTTATGAAATGCTTTAGTAAAGTGCTAAACACGTGTTTTTCCAGAGTTCTGTGACGTGACCCACTCTAATTGAACCGAAGGAGGCATTGTTGGGAAACTCCACTTGGAGTTAAATAAGTTGTGGGTAACCTGGAGGCTTACTACATTTGATTGGCATCTGAAGTGGGGTGGAAGCAGATTGTAGCACTGCACCCTTAAACTGTGAGATCTGACAGTATTGTGTCAGAATGGAGCCAGATTGTAGGACACTTAGATGATGTGGAGAGTTCATGGTATGGGGAACTCCCCCCACCTTATACACATTTTTTGGGACCAAGAGTGTTGTGAGTATAAAGGAAAAACCCCGGTGGAAGACTGGTTTTGCCAAAACAGACCTCAAGTGAATTCAAAGTAAGATCCAGCCTGACACTCTCTAGGGTCTTCTCTGCCATATGGACATTGGGCATCATGGAAACTGCATGCAACCTAGATCTAACAACTCAAGGGCACCGTCAGCTTTCTGTTCTGTCTAAACTGATGGATGCCATGCATCCAATGCTAAGTTGGCCATGGATGGGTTTCGGTTTCCAAAAACTGAAGTAGTAACTCTGTGTTTGTGACCATCTCTTACAAAGGGAGGAAGGCACTGGGGAGTCTTTAAGAGATTTCTACTTCTTTCCACCGGGCAGAGTCAGGGCAGCCATTATGAGCACTCTCATCAGAAACTTTAGGAAATGCTCTAGGAGGTTATAGATCCTGGGCAAAGCCAGAACTGGAACTTCTAGAAATGACCCAGAGCCCTGGCCACACACTTCTCTTGGCCCTTTGGTGTCCCTAGGAACCGTAAAGGAAGTACTTGGGCAGAGAGCACCATATTGGAAGTAGTTTGGTACCCAGGTTCAGCCTTTGGCAGCTGCCAGTGGAGTGTTCAGAGGCTCAGGGTCTGGTGAGCCTGAATCTTTGTGGATCCCAAGCGAGGGGCCTATAGAGTTGGTGAAGCAGGAATCCTTGTGGATGTCCATGTTTGGGAGTTTTGTTTAGGTTCAGTTCCTGAAGGATCTGGGTAATAGTTCGGGGTCTTTGGTTAAGGCTTAGTCTGAAGAGATGAACGACTGAAGATCTGATGGTCATGGCTTAAGGTCTCTATGTCAACCCTCCTAGGCTTTGTGATGGAAAACTGTGGGAGTTTGTACCAGTGAACCCTGCTTGTTTTCCACATTAGTGATTAATCTAAATCAAGTTTTATTTAAATCAGAGAAAGATGTCAATGGACGAGACATTCTGTGGGAAATTGCAGATTGAACTAGAGGTTGCTGCTTGAAAAATGCAGGATTTGTTTGGTTTTGAGAACACAAGACTCTGTAAGTTTTGAGACCCATATCCCCAGGGTACTGGGTGTTTTGAAGCTCAGCTTTTGGATGTTGAAAACATTTCTTTTCAGTCTTTCAAGTCCAAGGCCCTGCTCAAGGTTCCCATTAAAAATTTGTGTCCTAGAGTTTGAGATATGCTCTTTGACATAGTCTTCAGTGTGGCTGCAGTAAACTCATTAAAACATTTCTTTTCTACCTCCCTCCTTCCCAATGTCCCACTGTTGCACGGAGCACAGGGCTCCTGGATCTGAGGGTCACTGTCCGGGGCCAGCTGAGGAGGGAGCGAGGGCTCTGATCCCTCAGAGCCCATCCCGGGGTTGTCACAGATGGGGGCAAACAAAATGAGTTGTCGCAGAAAATTTCTGTTTGCCAGGAGAGGGGAAAGGGCTCTTCTCTCTAGTTGAGAAGCGCCAAGCCCCAGTGTCCAAAGGCTTTTATTGATAACCGTAGGCACAGGGGTATACAACAAAGCTCATCAATCAATGTGAAAAGGCTATGTTTACAGGAAACAAATAGAGATCATAGATAACAATTGGAGGAACACAGGAGGTCTGCCTCAGTTCAGGGTCTATGAATAATGTAAATCTCCTTTCCAGTACTAGCCCACTATCTTCACTTTTGAGTGAAGAGCAAAGCATGCCTAGAGGAACTTACTTCTAGGCCTGATTATCGCTGGGAACCGCCCTGTGAGAAGAACAAAGCATGCCTAGAGGAATTTATTTCTAGGCCTGATTGTCCCCAGGAACCACTTGATCCACTTTAGGGCTGTACCTGCCTTTAGTACTGTTTCAAGCTGAACCAAGAGATAAGACTTCTTTCAGATAGAATAAGGACCCTGGCCATGTCTAAGCTGAGTGGGGCGGGTGTGGCGGTGGGGGATTGGGGGGTTGGGGGGGCCTTTTTGCCCTTTCTCCGTGCCCCGCCAAGTCCTTGTCCTGCTGACTATACTGGCTGATGTCTGTCTTAGGTCTTCTCTCCTCACAAGAGAACTTACCTGTCATCAACATCTGACCATCACAGGGCCAAGCAGGGTGATGTGAGGGAGGCAGGGGCAAAGCCCCTGCAAGGGAGACAGGTTTCATCTCCTTAGTGAAGGCCTCCTTGACTATTTCTAGCCTTGGGGCCCTCTCGCCTGTGGGCGAGGTTACAGTCCCTGAAACCACGCCTGACGGTTCCCAACATCCCACAAGTCAGAGTAGTTTACTGTGATCAGTGGTGTGTCTACAAGTAAAGATGGGATTTTTTGTTCATCTAGGGCAAAGTTTATTCTTGGATATTTCCTTTCAGGTTTGTTAGATACAAGGATAAGCAGTTATTTTCCTGAATTCTTCTCATTAGCGAGACAATTTCATTAAAAAAATTTTAGACTACTGTTCTAAAGATTAAAATCATATGTATAAACATACATTCAAAATATCTTCCAACATGGCTCTAGTTTTTTCTGCATTGTTTCTGACAAATTAAGAGTTCCTGTTACTCCACTTTATCACTAGCATTTCATCTTTTCTGCGTTTTGATTTCAGCCACTCTAATAGTTGGGTGTTATATCATATTGCAGTGTTAAATTGTATATTCCTAATAACAAATGATGTTGACCATCTTTTCATATGCCTATTTCCTATCTGCTTATCTGTAAAAGAGTGTTCAAGGTCTTTGCTCATTTTAGAAATTGCTGACTTGTGAGAATTCTTTCTGTGTTCTGGGACTAGTCCTTAATGAGATAAAAAGTTGTTTGATGAATCTGTTGAGATTTTAATTATTTATTTATTGAGATTTTATTTACTTACGCATGTCTGTGGACCTCTAAGTATTGCAGCATCATTTGTTGGAAAGTTTAATCTTTCACCATTGAATACCTTTGTACCTTTGTCAAACAGTGAGTGTATTTGATTTGCGTTGGTCTTTTTATGGGATATCTATTCTGTCCCACTTAACTGTATGTTTATCTTTTCAGAAGTACTATCAATACCAATAATACACATAAGTTTGAAATCTGTCGATGTAAGTCTGTTTAATGGTTCTTTTTGGTCAGAATAGTTTGCTATTTTCTGTGTATAAACCTGACAAATAATATCTTTACCAGGAGATAAATGTTGTCGCTTTATTATTTCCTACCCCTACTTATGGTGTGATGAGAGACTTCAGTTACAAGAAGTCTTTAAAAAAAAAAGATTTTACTTCTTTATTTTTAGAGAGGGTGAGGGAAGGAGAAAGAGAGGGAGAGAAACATCAGTGTGTGGTTGCCTCTCATATGCCCTGTGCTGGGGACCCGGCCTGCAACCCAGGAATGTGCCCTAGACAGGGAATCAAACCAGTGACCCTCTGGTTCGCAGGCCGGCATTCAATCCACTGAGCCACACCAGTGAGGACCCAAGGTGTCTTTTCCAAAATGCACTTGTTTAATGAGGAAATCTTAGACCAAACCAAAAGATGGATTAATATATTAAATACCTGATTAATACTCCTCAAAATAATCGAAATGAGTAAGAGACTGAGAAATGGTCACAGAACAGAAGATCAAGGAAACATGGTGTCTAAATGCAATATTGTATTTTGGGTTGAATCAAGGGACAAAAAAATATGGCAGTTGGAAAAACTTGTGAAATCTGAGGAGAATCTGTAATTTGGTTCAATATTATACCAATGTTAACTTGTCCATTTCACAAATCTGTATCATAGTTATATAAAACGTTCACAGAATGGGAAGTTGAATGAAGGTGTAAGTGAACTCTTTGTAGTAGTACCTTGTGACATTTGTGTAAGTATAAAAATTCCCCACAATAAAACTTTATTAAAAGTAGATCTATTATATGTCGATTATATCTCAACAAAACTGGCAAAAAAGGTATAATCTAATTTTATTGTAATTTCTCATACACGTACTTCATACTATAAAATATTTATATCTATATGTAATTAATATGAAGTGGGCATAATGTCATGGGTGAACTAGTAGATGGTAACTAGAGTCACATAGAAGGTATGCACTAAAGTGGGATATATTTGAAAAACATAGAATTCAATATGTTCAGTTTATAGTATGATCCTTTCATTACCCAAATTCTTATTTTCATATTCCATGATATGTTGGTACCTTTTTTTCTTGTATGTCCCAGGCACCTCCATTTAATTTTAACCCTACACTGTTTACAGTCTTGTAATTGTACCTGATGTCTTTTTTTAAAAACTCATACCCTCTAAATTTTGTACTACATAATGGCAATTCATTTTAACAGCTTTTGGAGCATAATTTATATATAACCTTACATTGTAACTTTACAACTTGTTGACATTTAGTACGTTTAGAGTTGTGCCATCATCACCAGAAATTAAGTTTTCAGAAAATTTTATGACCTCATATATAAATTAATTGGATGATTTCTTTGTTGAGTTTTGCAAGTTCTTTATATACAATATTTTGAATACAAGTCCTTTATCAGATGTATAATGTGGAAATATTTTCTTCCAATCTCTGGCTCCACTCTTCACTTTCTTATATGTTATGCTTAGAAATACAAATGATTAAAATTTTAATTAAGTCCAGTTTTTTATTATTATTATTTATGGCTCACCCTTTACTGTATTCTGTCAGAACTCTATGGCTAACTCCGGTTCAGGAACATTATCTTGTGTTTGCTTCTTTTAGTTTTATGCTTAAACCTCCTACACTTCAGTTTGTGATCTATTTTAAGTTAATTTTTCTCTACATTTGGAGTTAAGGATCTGAATTTATTTTACTGCAAATAGATGTGCAATTACCCCAGCATCTTTTGTTGAAAAGAAGGATCACATCGGCTTATCTTGGCATCTTGTTCAAAAAGCAATAGACCTTAACATTGTTGGATCCTCAATTCTGGTTGTGCCTTTCTCTTTAGCTCCAGATATTTACTGACCTCATTTTCAGTGGCCTTTTACAAAGCCCCCATCCCAGTGACAATTTCAGCTTGTCCCAGCCGCTGTTTTATCCTGGTTAATGATGGCCAGCCCCATATTGTATCATTTTCTAAATCTTTTTCTGTTCCTAAAAATCACTTCCTGCAATAAATTTTCCGTCAGAATCTTCCCGTCGGTCCCGTTTACCCGATGTATGACCTTTTCATTTTGCAGGATTTCATTCTCTGCTGCTACATCGACCCCTGAGCTCCTGACTGTTTCGAAACTTTAAAAAAAAATTTTTTTATACAAACTGAAAAATAAAGGCTGCTCCCATATGACTTTCTTGCACAGTCCACCTCAAGAAGCCTGAATCTCTGAAAATACTCATTTTCCACAGGAGTACAAGTGTCAGGATAGAAGCCAATTTCAGGAGCTTCTCACCTTCTCGCTAACCCCGGCTATTGGTGCCAAAGTCGAGCCTTACCTTCTGTACGGTGGTCGTACGTCCAACATGGCGGCCCCCGTGACGGCAACGTGTAATGGGCGCCGACATGTTGCCTTGGAAGGGAATTCGGAAATTGCCCGCGCTTCTTGAAATGCCTCAGATCCTCGTCGGCCGCCGTAGGCAGACGAGATAATGGGTGATGGTCCCAGAGACCGAGGCAGTTTGCGGAAGTGTTGAGCTTAAACTCTCTTGGTGGCTGGATAAATCAGGTCAGTCTACCCTTGTCTTTTGAAGTTTTTAGAAAAATTTTGTTTCCTGAGAGGTTTATCTATCTCAGAGTACGTGAGGTCATAGGGGTGCAGTGGTGTAGTTGGACCCATGAAATTATCAGCGGGGTCGGGTGGGAGGAGCGCTCAGGTATTTGGGAGCAGCCAGGTGTGACACGCCTGACTGTGACTGGGGTACTTTTGGGGTCATCAGGCAGTTAAGAGTCTGTAGAGATCAACGACCATGTCCCGACTTGCCGTGGTCTTTTCGGGTCACTCTGTTTGTAAGGGATGGGGGTGGTATGTAGGATGATCGTGGTGTCGAGTTCGGGTTCGGAATTTCACGGGGGGCTCAGTGATGTTGTGGCCAGTGTGGATGGTCATCGCGTGAGGGTGTCTGGTGTATGTTTCGGAATAATAAGGGGGTGTGTGTGAGATCGGTGTCTGTGCGGCCGGAGAGGCTCCTGATCCTGGGGATGCCCAGGAACCCGGACTGGTGGTTGGGTGGAGGTTCCAATCTCAGCGGTTGGGACGGAACGGAATCCGTAGAATCCCATAGCTTGAGGATACGGCCGTTTTTCCCACTGTTAATTACACTTGGACTGTTTGCATTTTGGCTTGTTATGAACAATGCTGCTATGAACATTCTTGTTCATGTGTTCTGGTTCACATGTGCCCTTATTTTGGAAGAGGCGGGGAGATAGAGCTTAAATATAAATCTCAGAGAAGGTAGTAGAGCCCAGGTTAAGTAGAGACCCTATTGTTTTTTAGCCTTTTTATCCCATGGTTAGCTCACTACAGTGGGGAGACTAATCCAGCCACGCCCTTCGGTCACTCAACACCTAGCAGCTTTGTCTCAGCAAAGGCAGAAGTGGCACATACCGAAAACATGTATGTGCCTGTGCAGAAAATGTTTGCCAGCACTTGCTCTCACCTCTTTAAATGTAGCAGCGGACACTGTCGCTTATTTGCCTGACATACATTCACACTTTCTTCTTTGTTGATAGGATCTCCATTTCATTTAATATCCATCCCTCTGGCAAGGTGAGCCATATGTCAGTGTGTTCGTAAGTCCTGGTCCGTCTTAGTCAACAGTGGTGGCTCCAGTTCCCATCGCTAGTGATTGGATTAATTTGAAATGAGCTTAGGTACGTGGTGCGTGCAGTTTTATCCCGATACAGAAGTGGAAATCTCCTTAGTGGTTTCTAGGGAACATTTTCTCTTTTAAATAAGTAATTCCTTGAGCCCTGGCTCGTGCGGCTCCGTGGACCAAGTGCCAGCCTGCGAACCAAAGGATCATTGGTTGGATTCCCAGACAGGGCACATGCCTGGGTTGTGGGCCAGGTCCACAGTAGGGGGTGCTCTAGAGGCAACCACACATTGATGTTTTTTCCCTCTCCTCCCTCCCTTCCCTTCTCTCTAAAAATAAACAACTAAATTTTTTTTTTAAATAAGTAATTCCTTGAATCTCTTTATCCATGCTGATGTAACATTGTTGGAATATAATCTTAATTTTTTGTCTTACTTTCTAATGTTTATAGTTGATTCTTATCTCAAAGCATCTGCTTGACTCTCCAGTTCAAAATAGGTTAAGTGTGGTTGTAGCAGACAACTGTGCCCTGTTCCCTACCCAGAAAATTCATTTGCAAGTGTCCAGAGTTAACAGTTTCTAGGAAGGAAGGGCCATAAAATTAAGATTCATTCAAGTTTTCAAATTTAAAGACATAAAATTGTTTATGGTGTTAAGTTGAAAAACTCTATTTTTTAAACTTTTTTAAAATTTTATTTATTTATTTTTAGAGAGACAGAGAGGGAGGGAGAGGGAGGAGGGAAACGTCAATGTGTGGTTGCCTCTCATGCACCCCGCGCTGGGGGGCCTGGCCTGCAACCCAAGCATGTGCCCTGACTGGGAATCCAACCAATGATCCTTTGGTTCGCAGGCCAGTGCTCAATTGACTTAGCCACACCAGCCAAGGCTGAAAAAATTCTATTTAATATGATTTATGTCTCCCATTAATTCCTTATATACTTTGCACCATTTTTCTTTAGTATGTCTCACTACAACTACATATATTTTATTGGTATTTTTAAGTGAGAAGCTTTTGGCATTGTTGAGCTCCTCCATTGATTTGTTAATTTAAAAGGTCTTCAACTGAAATCAGTATAAAAGTATTTACAAATATATGTACTGTTCACATATGTAATATATACAAATATATATGTATATCACATGTATAAATACATATTTTAGTTGTAAAATATAATCGCTACTGTGTGTGTGTGCGCACATGCACACAGCCATTGCCCAGGTGAAGAAACAGAACACTGCAAGCTCCCCAGGGGAGCTCGGTGAGCCCCATTCCGATTATATTATAACCTCACACCCAAGGTAATTACCATCCACTCTCCATCCCAAGCACTCTAATGCTTTTATTTATAGTTTTGTCATATAATTAATCATTCCTAATCTCTGTAGTTTCTTTAGTTGTGCCTAATTTTAACTATCAAACAATCATGCATCATGCAGTTATGTGAGTCTTCCTTAGCTCAATACATAGGTGTATGTATTTTTTGCTCTGTAACAAGGATCAGGTAATTCTATAATGTTTACGCAGTAATTATTTCAGGAGTTGCAAACCACAGAATGTCACATATGAGTCATAAAAAGGTGGGTTTATATGTTTGTTTGTTTGTTTGTTTGTTTGTTTGTTTTTAACCATTCTTTAAAGAGGTTAGGAGCCCTCCCTCCTAAGGGCATGGGGCATGCCTGTGGCTTTTCCTTCCCCTTCCCTCACCTTCTTCTTCCCAGAGGTGTTTCCCTTGCCTGTCTCTCCCCTAAGCTCCAAGAGCCCTCCTTTTGGTTTTGTGACTTCTTTCCTGAGCTCACGCAGCCCAGCTGGCTCACTTTTACTATCTCTGTAACTTTCTAAATAAACTTTCTCTTATAACTTGAAAAAATATAAACAATAAAAAAGTTAAAAGCATTCTTAGCTTGCAAACTGGGCCAAGGCTGTATTTTCCCCATAGCATGCTGTAGTTCGAGTGTATGGCAGTTTTCCCTACTGTTAGTTGACCTTGTATTGTTTGCGGTCTGGATTTTTGGGGGATACTGCTGACGTGAAAACTCTTGTACATTTCCTCTAGGTCAAAGGTGTCCTTATTTATATTTTGGGGGGGAATAAATATCTTTGATATATACCTCCAAGTGAAAATACTGTGTTAAGATGTGTATAATTTAATTTATATAGATAACAAAATGTTTTCCAAAGTGTTTGTACCCTTTATATTTCCTCCAGCCAAATGTACTGTAATAAGCTTTTTAGTGTGTTTTACAAGGCCTGTTTAAAAAATCTTTTCTTAACACCTTGAGAATTTATTTTTCTATCTTAAAGTGTTGGGGTTTTTTATAAGTTTTTATTTTTTTATTTACTTATTTTTAGAAAAAGGGGAACGAAGGGAGGGAGAGAAACATCGATGTGCATGGGAAACACAGACAGGGAGAGAAACATAGATGGGCCGCCTCTCACATACCAGCAACTCGGGACCTGGCCCACAACCCAAGCATGTGCCCTGACTGGGAGTTGAACCGTTGACCCTACTCTTCACAGGCCGGTGCTCAATCCACTGAGCCACACCAGCCAGGGCTTAAAGTGTTATTGATGTGCCTCTCCCATTGAGATTGAGAGTTGCCACCCAAAATGATTGTTGTGTGTGTTCTGAAATACAATTCAGTCTTCTGCCCATCCCCCACTTCCAGCATGGATATCTGATTGTCCCAGAACCATTTTTTGAAAAGGCACCCTTACCGTCTTCTCTGCAGAACTGCCTGTGTCATCACATTTTTTCTATGCCTCAGTCTGTTCGTAGGCATTTTATTTTGTTCCTTTGGCTGATTAGATTATGTTAATACATATAGAATTGTCAGAGCTGAGGTAACTTTAAGCCCTCATAACTGATACAGCAAGTCTTTCAACTTTTTTTTAAGCACCATATAGCTATCAAAGATTTTGGATCTATATATACATTTGGGAAACATGACATGGTTAAAATGCTTGGTTTTCTGAGTTGTCTTCACAGTCCATCTTTTCATTTATTTAAGTCTGTTCAAATTTCTCTATATTTCTTGCTATTTCATGAAATATTTTTGATATTCTTTAAAATGATAGTTTCTGAATTTTATTTTGTTCTTTGAGGGCCTGTTTGTCTGTCAGTTGCTGGGGGATGTATGTTGAAATCTAGTATTAGAATGGATTTGTGTATTTTTGGGGGGGGGTTCAGTTCTACTGTATGTATTTCAAGGCTGTATTGTTAGGTGCATAGGAATTGGAAACTTTTATAAGATGGTAAATTGAACCTTTTATCAGTGTGCATTGTTTCTTTTTGTAGTAATATTTGGGTTTCCTGGTTCATTTGTCTGAGAATATAATTACACCAGGTCATTTGTGGTGACTCTTCATTATATATCTTTTTCTGGCCTTTTACTTGAAGATTTGCATATCATCATGTTTCAGACTTGTTACCTATAATAGCATGTTATTCAGTTTTAAGTTGTAATTGAGTGTGACAGTTTTGAGGCATTTGTATTTAATGTAATTAACTGTAATTGTTCTTTTTATGCTTATGTTTTGTTTTATTTATTTAAACATATTGAAAAGATTTTCAAATTTATTTATTTTAGAGGTAGAGAGACAGAGAAACATCGATTTCTTGTTCCACTTATATAGACATTCATTGGCTGCTTCTTGTATGTGCCCTGACCTGGGATCAAACCTGCAAGCTGGTGTGTTAGGACAACACTCTAACCAGCTGAGGTACATGACCAGGGCAGTGTGTTTTCTGTAAATACAGTCATCTAAGTACATTGTACTTGCCCCCATTATTCTCATTTTTGTATTTTTTTTTTTTGCATTATTTCTGATGATTTTTTTAAATTATATTTTCCCCACCCAAGGTTAAGTACATACCATGGAAATTATGTACTTTAAGACAACTGTTCACTTTCATCCCGACACGAGAGACTACGTACATCCTGGAACTTTGTTAAATTCTGTGTTAGAGCTTTACACTCTTTTCCTATAATACAAGGATCTTAAAGCACTTCCACTTAATTTACTACCTTCCAATTTATTTACAATATTGTGTACTTTTGTATGTACTTAGAACCTCCTAAGATATTATCATTATTGCTTATGAGAAGGTGCTGATGACTTGCCCAGTGCGTTGGTTTTCCCCCTCAAATGTGCACAGTGACAGGGTATAGAGAAACCTTTAAAGAAGCCCCTGAGAACACGTGGTTTAAAGGATTACAGATCCTCTACTTCCATAAGGTCTGCTTTGTACAAGTGATTTTACTGAGACTCAGCTGCTCTTGGTGCAGAGATGGATGTCCTTTTTCAGGTCTCCTCTGACGGTCACCCCACGTAAACTCTGCAGGATATAGGAGGACCTCTAAACAGAACCCAAGAGTTTATTGGCCCTGAGAATAAATACTTCGGGGACACCATATGAAGGGACACTAGCGATACTGTGCCCATTGTGTGAGAGTCAGGGCTCAGGAGCAGTGTAGCATCAGGTCCCGGAGGGAATGTACCACCCACTGAATTTTCTCCTCAGTCCACAGGTCCTGACTCCCCAGGAGCAATAGAATCATGTGAAACAGGAGAAGTTGTGGGGTTGGGTGTCAGCATATCCGGGGACACACCTGACTGAAGACAGAATTTCTGAACAGAAATTTAGAGCAGACCCAGGACACACCAAGACAGAGCCTCCCTGTTGCCAGCTCTTTTCAGAGAACGGAAGAAAATGCTCCTGGCTCAGGTGGCCTTGGTTTGTTTTATCCTTTCCTTTCTTACTAATGGATTTGTAGAGGCCTATGAAAAACCACCTCCATTAATCTGAAAAGTATACATATATATTTTTTCCTCAAATATGTAAATGTGGCGTTTCTAGGTTAATGAGAAAATTTAAATTTCCATTATAGAAACTTGTAATGTGAATGCATGGGTGACTGAACGAACAATTACAAAATACAGGGTGGGACAAAATTAGTTTTACTGTTGTGAGTGTGCTAAACAGAGTTTTTATTTTTGTATTATTATTAATTATTGTCTTATTTTTTTAAATTTATTTTTAATTTATTTTTTCAAATACATTTGTCTCTGCCTCCCCCAACCATATTTTTTTATGCAAACCGTTGTAAACCTTGTTTTCCCCCACCCTGTATTTCACTACACATGTGATTATTCAACTCTGTATCAAAACAAAGCCCCACTCGCTATATAGCTGCTGCCTGTAATGTGAAAATGAGCAGAAAAAGTAATCTTTCTCTTTTTTAAATTATTTTTAAATTTATTTTTAGAGAGGGGAAGGGAGGGAGAAGAAAACATCAATGTGTGGTTGCCTCTCAAGCGCCCCCTGCCTGGAACTTGGCCTGCAACCCAGGCCGGTGCCCTGACTGGGAATCCAACCAGTGACCTTTTGGTTCACAGGCTGGTGCGCAATCCACTGAGCCACACCAGCCAGGACAAAAAACTAATATTTCTCCCATGCCATCTAAAGCACATCAGAACATTAAACAACATGGTGCTGTTACAGGAATCCCTGACATTTCACGATGTGGCCGTGGACTTCACCTGGGAGGAGTGGCAGCTCCTGGACCCCAGTCAGAAGAACCTGTACAGGGACGTGATGTTGGAGACCTACAGCAACCTGGTGTCAGTGGGTGAGGACTGCTCCCTGGTGTCACTCAGATGGTGCCCTGTTAGTGGCCTTTTTTCCCCTCAGCTACTTAACTCTTCAGAATAAATACAGTTCTCTGATATGGTAAACTCTGAGATCTTTCCTTTGCCCTAGACAACAGGGTACAATGTCCTCTCCTTGGAGAGGAAAGTCTTTGGGTTACAGATGTGACACATGTTCATTCTCTGAAATGTAATGTTTTTCCTTCTTGACAGACCACAGCCCAGTTCAATATGTCTAAGTCTGTCATTTTTCACAAGCAGGGTATGAAGCCAGCAAACCAGACGTGATCTCCAGGTTGGAACGAGGGAAAGAACCGAGGACAGTACAGGATGAACTGCACCGTCCAGTCTGCCCAGGTGAGGGGGTGAGAATGAGCAAGGTGGGCGGCTGGGAAGTCACATTCTAGTCAGACACGCGTACAGAGCTGGCAATGAATGAGGAAATTCAAACCACCCTCCATGTGTGAGAACTCTTTTTCTTTGTAGAAGTTTAAAGGAAAACATACCGCGTTTTTCTCTTCTGAGCTCTGACCCCTGTTTATTTTATTTACATCTTGTTTGTGTTTGCATAGTTTTTTTCTTCTAGGATTCTCAGATCTTCCTCTTCTTTGTCCAGTCACAGTGTCTCTGCCTGTGTTACCACCTCTCTTGCTGTGAAACTCCACTTTCCAGGCCTCTCTGGAAAGACAGAACTTTTCATTTATCACTTTTTTTTACTATAGGGCCTTCATGCCCTGTTTGGAAATAGCGATTTCCCTCCATGGCATCCAGCCTCCTCTTCAATGCTGTCCCCATGATAAGCTGGTTTTTATGGCGCATTTATGTTGTTCTTTATCTCCTTCCTCACAAGGTTCTTCATACTCAGTTCTTAGCACTCTTAAACTTTTCCTCTATTCCAATGAGTTAACCGTTTTCTTTGAAATAAACTCCTAAATGGACTTTTCCCTCATTATTGTCTAATGCACACTTTCTTCCTATGTATTTTACTTATTGTCATAGCAGCTGGCTTCTGTTTTCCCATTTTGTGTGTGAGAGCAGAGAGCAGGGAGCAGGAACCACCTTCGTTCCATCCTTCCTTAAGTTTAGCTTCTCTCTCTGCCCTAGACATGTAAAGTTCTGTCTATCCTGGCATTCAGCTGGGGTGTTCCCTACATGCTGAGCTCTCTTCCTAAAGTTCTCTACTCTCTCACTTGATGAACAAGAGAAGATCTTAACTGCTATGTGTGTTCTAGCCTAAACTAGGTAATAACTTATGTCTGGCTCAAATGACCTTCTTCCTAGTTTTCTTAATTCAGATTTTTCTTTTTTCTTAGATATTATCACTGCATTTATTTTCCTAAATAATTTGTTCATCATATTTTTATTGGTTTTATTTGGATTAATTCACATACTATTCATTTTGCCTATCTATAGTATACAGTTGCCCTGGCTGGTGTTGCTCAGTGGTTTGAGCACTGGCCTCAAATGAAAAGGTCACCAGTTTGATTCCCAGTCAAGGCACATGCCCAGGTTGTGGGCCAGGTCCCCAGTAGGGGGCCTCTCTTCCTGCCTTCCCCTCTCTAAAAATTAAAAAAAAAAAAAAAAATGTGGACCATGTTGCTTACAGTGTAGAAAGTACACATTATCAGGGAGGGGCATATGCTATTATACTCAAGGTTACAATTTGTGACAGTATAACAATACAGATTAAAATCATCAAAGATAAAAGATGGGTTGGAAAAAAATCAGGAGTGACATGAAAAATGCTAAATAACTTGTCCTAATCTGGCGAGTCTTTGAAAGAGTCTAAAGTTAAGAGACAAGGAGCAGAAATAGCAGCGGTGCTCTCCTGTCAGCCTTAAGCAAAATGCCATGTTTTGAGAGGGTCACCTATTAGGAAACAGCGTGATGACTCTGGGAGCAGAGAGCCTCAGTTCCACAAGCACAGGAACTAAGTTCTGCCCACAACCAGTGAGCTTGGAGGACGTCCCCGGCTCCCGATGAGACCACAGTCCTGGCTGACTTCATGCAGTCTTGAATCCCTGAGAAATGGACTCAGTTTGGGCTCTGTTTGGCCTCCTAACCCATGGAAATGGATAATAAATGTTTATTGTCCTTAAAAAAATTGCTGTTGCACTGGCTGGTGTGGCTCAGTGGAATGAACACCAGCCTGCAAACTGAGAGGTCGGTGGTTCAGTTCCCAATCAACGCCCATGCTTGGGTTGCAGGCTAGGTCCTGAGTTGGGGACGCACAAGAGGCAGCCAACAGATGTTTCTCTCCCTCTCTTTCTCTGTCCCTTCTCCTCTCTCTAAAAATAAATAAAAATAAATTCTTAAGAAAATTGCTGAATCTTTCCAGCAATGATGTTTGCCAAAATGTGTGAAGAATTTGCAACCAGGGAAGCTGACGCAGCTAGTGTCTGTAGCTCCCTAAAGTCAAAAGGTTGCAGTGCTGTCCTGAGCCTCAGGAACACAAAAACAGGCATCAGCCACAAATTGCATTGTTCACATAAACTGTCTGGTATGGCCTAAGACCTCAGACATAAAGAGACTCTTCTGTCAGGCAGGATATTCCCAGGAATCAGAGGTTATTTTCCAGTAATGAGTCAGGGCCTGTCTTGTCTTTGAATGTGCCCTCTGCACAGTTGACTCAGTTAGCACTTTACTGCGTGTCGTCCATTCTCCTCTGTGCAGGAACACAGGACAGTATGTTCCAGCCTGAGCATTAGTTGGGGTCTTGATTATAGACGCTTTTGCCTACATTTGAAATTAGTGCTTTAGGAGAGTTAAGTTGCTGCAGAATGATGAAGAATGGCAAGTTTTTGGAATATGATAACCCTCAATAGTCTGTAATTCCTATCTAGAAATCAGATGCTGAGGATCCATGTCCTTACTCACCATAGATTTATACTGTGCAGCTGGGTCTCCAGGTGTACACCTGATCCCAATACTCAGTGTTTGTTTTTCTTCCAAGGACTTACTGACTTCCAAAACTCTACACATGCCTGCACCTTTTATTCAACATTTTTTGAACGACAATGTCATTTAGTACTTTTTACTCTTTCTTTGACGAGGTTGTGTATAGTTATGGGATTCACATTGCTATTTTCAGATAAGACCTTTTGTAAGATATCTATATTCAACCAGTTTCTCTATGTTTGTACTTGGATATATCAATTGTCACCTTAAACTTTGTTTCACAATGCACTCTGGATTTTCTGCTTATTCTGGACTTCAGTAATAGTCCTCATTTCCTTAATGGGCATTCCGCGTACCCAGTGGCTCAAGCCACAACGTTCCTGGGGTAATCCTGCGTCCCCACTTTCATTAACCTCTTCCTGCTTCTGCTATTGAGCCAAGCCCATTAGTGAACTTTGTCTTGTCTTTAAATATACAGTGGGGCAAAAGTAGGTATATGGTTGGGAGTACACAAAACATAGTTTATTATTTTATTATTAGTTATTATTTTATCACTTATTACTTATTATTACTTATTATTGTATCATTTTCCATATGAACAACTGTAAATCTACATTTCCCTGTCCCGTACATCCTGATTTCCTCCACCTCTTATACTCCATTGCTCCTTTAGCCATGTCACAGACTGTAATTACCTTTATTACTTTGCTTCAGGTGTGTATACCTAAGATTATTAAACCTGAGGGTCCCACAAATTTACTCATTTCTGACACTGTCTACTTAGAAATAGTGTCAGACCCTACATGTTAGTTCAGTCCTATGAGATTGCCCCCACGTCAGATGTCAATTGCAAGTACAGATTGTCACCTGTGCTTCTGACCAACTGGCTATAAATTACAGGTTCTCATGACATCCTCCTTGGATTCAGTTAGTTTGCTAGGGTATCCCACATAACTCGGAGAAATGCTTCATTATGTCTACTAGTTCATTATAAAGGATATAGATGAATAGGTATATAAGGCAAGATCTGCAAGGTTCCTGAATACAGGAGCTACTGTCCCTATGGAACTGTGGTGAGCCACCAATGGGCACATCATGTGTTCACTAGCCCAGAAGCTGATCAGATCTGGTTAAGAGTTTTTATAGGCCTTTAATCTCTAGTCTCTTCCTCATTTTTCAGAGGTTGGTAAGTGTGACTGAAAGTCCAGCCTTCTAATAATTGGTTTTTCCAGTGACTAGCTCCTTCCTGAAACTATGTAGGAACCCTGTGCTAAGTCACCTCCTTACCATAAACTTGACAGTTATTGTAAGATTTGGGGGGTTTTTAAAGATTTTATTTACTTTCTTTTTTAAAATTTTTGTTTTAGAGATATATTTATTTATTTTAGAGAAAGGAAGAGAGGGAAAAACAGGGAGAGAAACATCAATGTGTGGTTGCATCTTGTTCCCCGCCTACTGGGGACCTGGCCTGCAACCCAGGCATGTGCCCTACACTAGGAATGGAACCTGTGACCCTTTGGTTCACAGGCTGGCACTCAATACACTGAGCCACAACAGCCAGGGCAGTTTACTTTCAAATAGAGGAGAATGAAGGGAGAAAGGGAGAGAAACATGAATGTGCAAGCGAAACATTGATTGATTGCCCCTTGCTCCCCCGCCGAACTGGGGACCTGGCCTGCAACCCAGCCATGTGTCCTCACAGGGAATTGAGCAGGTGACCTTTTGTTTCGCAGGCCAGTTCTCAATCCATTGGGCCACACTAGCCAGAGCTGTTATTGTTAGGGTTTTCCTAAGTGATAGAAGTATCACTTAGGAAGTTACAAGGGTTTTACAAACTCAGTGTCAAGAACTATGGAGTAAGACCAAATATATTTCTTATGGTTACATCACGTGAAGGCTTTTTGAAAAACAGTTTTATTTCAAACTAGGATGATGGGATATTACAGAATGATCCACTGTCCTGTTCTTCCCTAGAACTCAGGAAAGCTGATGATCCTCTACAGTGTCGCTTGCAAAGTCGAAGCATTCAGAAGAGTGTGGAACGATGCTGTGAACATAATATGTTTGCAAATACTGTTAATCAGAACGAAGGTCATCCCCTGTTAAAGCAAAATCATGATATGTTTGAGATATGTGAAAAACCTTTAAAATCGAATTTAAGTTTTGAAAACCTGAACAAAAACTCTAACTTAAGGAACTCCGTTGAGTTGAAGGGAGATGGGTCATCCATTCTGCATGCTAACCATGAGCAATTTTACACTGAAATGACATTATACATCAGTTGCAAACCCATCAATAGTAAGTCCCAGGTCATTCAGCAACAGAGAACTCACAACGTAGAGAAAGCCTATATGTGCATTCAATGTGGCAGAGGCTTCATCAAGATGTCTGAGCTCACTGACCATCAGAGAGTCCATAGGAGAGAGAAAGGTCATGGATGCAATCTGTGTGGGAAAGTTTTCTCCAGAAAGTCAAGGCTCACCGAACATCAGAGAATTCATACAGGACTGAAACAGTATGAATGCACAGAATGTGGCAAAACCTTCCTCAAGGCATCACAGTTCAATGTACATTGGAAAACTCACATGAAAGAGAAACCTTATACCTGTAGTGAATGTGGAAAAGCATTCGTAAAAAAGTCTCGACTCATTTATCATCAGCGAACTCATACAGGAGAGAAACCCCATGGGTGCAGTCTATGTGGGAAGACCTTTTCTACAAAGTTTAGTCTCACTACCCATCAGAAAACTCACACAGGAGAGAAACCGTATGTATGCAGTGAATGTGGAAAGGGCTTCATTGAGAAGAGTCGTCTTATTGCACATCAGCGAACTCATACAGGAGAGAAACCCCATGGGTGCAGTCTATGTGGGAAGACATTCTCTAAAAAGTTTAATCTCACTGCACATCAAAGAACTCACACAGGAGAGAAACCGTTTTTGTGCAGTGAATGTGGGAAAGGCTTCTCAATGAAGCATTGCCTCATCGGACATCAGCGAACTCACACTGGAGAGAAGCCTTATGTATGTAGTGTTTGTGGAAAAGGCTTCACAATGAAACGTGATCTTACTGTACATCACCGAAGTCATACTTCAGAGAAACCATATGTGTGCAATGAATGTGGGAAAGGCTTCACTGTGAAGAGTCGTCTAGTTGTACATCAGCGAATGCACACAGGTGAGAAACCATATGTGTGCAGTGAATGTGGAAAAGGCTTCCCAGTGAAAATGCAGCTCATTGTACATGAACGGACTCATACAGGAGAGAAACCTTATATATGCAGTGAATGCTGGAAAAGTTTCACAGCTAAGTGTAATCTCATCAGACATCAGCTAAAACATACAGGAGAGAAGCCCTATGTATGTGGGGTGTGTGGAAAAGGCTTCACAGTGAAGACTGATCTCACTTTACATCAGCGAACTCATACATAAGAGAAACCATGTATGTGCAGTGAATGTGGGAAAGGTTTCCCCATGAAGAGTTATCTTAAAATGCATTGGCACACTTATATGGAATAGAAACCTTTTATATGCAAGGAATATGGCAAAGGCTGAATTGAGAAAAGCATGGTTATTGACCATCTCTGAATTTATATGGGGAGAAATTGTATATTATGCAATGAATGTGGAAAGGGCTTCACCATGAAGAGAACTTCAGATATACATCAGTAAACTTGTACTGCAGAGAAGTTGTACAAATGTAATGAATGTGAAGGCTTTAGGGAGAAAACGTGCCTCGTACAAGATCAGAGATTTCTGTCAGGAAACACTTTCTTTGCATGTTCTCAATGTGGAAAATTCTCTTTAATCAAAAATGATTTTATTTCACATCAGAGAAACCATGTGAAGGTAACACATGGGAAAGCCTTCACTACAAAGATAAGAAGCAAAATTCATCAAACAAAAATATACTTGAGAGGCCTTCTGGGTGCAGTGATAGTGGGAAAGCTTTGGCCTGCTTGTCAGTTCTTGTTAAACATGAAAATTCGTAGGTACTTGCTTTGGGGAAAGCCTATTGCCAGTTGTAATAGGCCCTCAAGATAATAGTATGCAATGAGGAACAACCATGCAAAAAGAGAGAAGGAAGGTTTATGTAAAGAATGTGGTACTGTCTTTATTGATCAATTACTGTATTTTGCCACATGTAAAGTGCACCCACAGTTTTGTGTGCATTATGTATGGGATTATGATACCCATTATAATACCCATGGTTGTAATCATTATACTCATGTATAATGCATATCCTTGTTTTTCCCTAAAAAATTTGGGCAAAAAAAGTGTGCATTATAGGTGGCAAAATATGGTGCCTTATATTTCTTACCCAAAAAATTTGCTAAACAACTCAGATATAATCAGCCTGATGAAAATATTTTAGGACATTATATGTCTAAACAGTGTATACTGAGATAAATCCTATAAATGTGACTAACTGGGAAACTGTAGTCATGTAGACCCTCATGTAGATCAGAGATGAATGGATGAATGAATGAATGAATGAATGAATATTTTTAATTGTGGGGAAAGCATCTGATCAAAAGTAAGACCTCAGTAGATGTCAGTTCACACTAGAGAAATTATTTTCTCTGGCAGTGAATATGGCATGGTTTTTAATAATTTATGTTGCCTCATGATTTGCTAGGAAGTCTATGCAGAAACAAGCACATTCAATTTGGTGGTCTTTAGCCAAACCTCAGATAAATTAATGAACAAAAGGAAGCCTTGAATGAAAGCATTCTGTCTTAAGTCCAAACAGATAAGGCGCCTCAGGAGCGATTGGGAGAGGATACCTTCAGCCATATTTCTACCTGCTTTGCCATTCATTAATTTTATAAGTTTTAAACAGTGGTAGTTAATTCTTGTCATGAATTAAATTTTAATATCTGCAACACAGGAGTGGTCTATGCCTATTTCATTATGTCATTCTACATCTTTTTACCTCCAAGTTTATATGTTTCACAATAGTAGTACTTGAAAATGAAACAATATATTCACTTCCTAAGTATAACAACGTATATGGATGTGTTTAATCAAATTTATAAGTAACAAGTAGTTTATTAAATATGTTTTTATAACTTTTAATTTGGAAATAAGTTTAGAATTACAAAAACAAAGTTTTTAGAGATTTTTTAGATACCCTTCAGGTAAGTACTCCCAAAGGAAAAACTTTACATAGTCACAGTTCATATCAAAGAGAGGAAGGTGAAATTGTTGCAGTGCTGTTAACTGCAGGATTTATTTGTGTCTCCATTTTTAATATGTATTCTTTTTATTTTTAATTTGTTTTAGATAGAAGGTAAGGGAGGGAGAAAGGGAAAGAAATATTGACGTCAGTGAGAAATATTGATTGGTTGCCTCTCATATGCGCCTTGACCAGGAACCGAATCCACATCCTAGACAGGTATCCTGACCAGTGGTACTTCATTTTATGGGACAGTGCCCAACCAACTGAGCCACACCAGTCAGGACACACTAATTTTTGTTTGGTTTTTATGTGTAGTTTTAAGAAACTTACTACATATGTAGGTTCTTGTAACCAACACCATATTAGAAATTCAGAATTTTTTGTTATCACAAACCCTCATGCTATCCCTTCGTAGTCATATATTTTCCCTGACCCTAACCCTTGTCATCACAGTTCTTTTGGTATGTGTAAGTTTCTCATTTATAGAATAAGAGAAAAATGGAGTCATTTAGCATGTTCCCTGTTGAGATTAGCTATTTGACCTTGTGAAGTATAGAAAATACATATACACTGGTCTCTGCCCCCAGTTCCTGGCACAGAGCTCCTGAAGCCCTTGTAAATTCCTGAGTGATAACAGCATTAGGAGCAGCTTTTGTTCTGTCGAGGCAACTGGTTGGAATGCCTATCTCCACCCCACATGTCTAGAGATGGGCGAGGGGCTGGAAATAGAGGTGATGATCAACCATGCCTACTCAAGGAGGCCTCCGTAAGCATACCAATAGAAAGAGAGCTTCGGTGGGTGAACACAACCATGTCTGGGGAGAGTGACACCCTAACTTCATGGGGACAGGAGCTCCTATGCTGGGGACCCTTGCGGACCTCATACTCTTCATCTGGCTATTCATCTCTAACCTTTATGATGAGCACTTAATTGAGATGTGTGTGTGCTATCACTATTTTTGGTAAAATGATCACATGTTCTGCTGCCTAAACCTAGCAATTTTGACAATTTTCTTGAAGAAAAAGTCAGTGAAACAACAAAGGTACATGGAATTTCATTTATTTTGTGGCTTTTTTGCTTTATGCAATTAATGTTTATTATTTTGGAATAATATGTTCCAATATTTTTTAAATTTCTAAAGCTTCACACAATGTAATGGACACTTAATTTTAGCTCATGCTATTAACATCCATCGCTTTCAGAAGTCCAGACATTTAATAATACAGTAAGTCCTTGCTTTGTAGTGTTCTCCCACTTTCCGGGTCTGCTATCATGGGGGTTCTCCGGTTGGAACAGGCCCCTCAGGGACCAGATGGCACTGGGATGAAAAGGTATTTGGAGTCCCGTGCTCAGTGCAGAGTAAAGTAAGAGCATTTGACAGACTCCCGATGCCGAGGCACCCTGGATTTAAATAGCAGATTTGTGAATTTTACTGGGAGTCACAGGCTAAAGACCCTTCACTCTATTCTGGCCTTTAGTTTTTTTCCTCTGTAAAATGCACATAAGGTACACATGTCTCAGTCCCTGAGCTGTTGGAGGAGGTCAAGAGCTAAGGTGCCCATTTGAGGTGCAGCAGCTCTGTCTCCAGCCTTCCTGCGCTGTGGCAACTCCCGCTTCTGCCTGCAGAATCTTTCTCAGGCCAGGCACCTCTTCCCCCAATGTCCACAAGGACCTTATTTGGGGATGTGTATTTGATTAAGTAATTGGGCTTTTAAGAACTCAGTGACCTACCAGCAGGAAGGTAGACGCTGTAGGCACTGAGGTCTCAGTGTGGGGTCCCCACCAGGGAATGTCTAGCTGATTCACTAGAGCTCCTATCATCTCAGTTGGCTGATTGTGACATGCATTCTGCTGATGACAGCGCTTACCTTGCCCTGTGAGGATTAATAGAAGTAACACACTGAATTCTTGTGGTTGCCAGGATTGCATGGTTTGCTTTTAGAGCATTTCCTCTTTTAATACAACAATCTGGAGAGTGCAAACTACTATCAAATTGCTGGGAACATCCAGGATTAGAGAAATTAAGTAGGTTCTCCAAGTTTACATGGCAGACAATTGGCAGGTTCTCAAGCTGGATTCCAACCTGGGATTCTGACTCCAGAGCCAGGGACAATCTGTACCATGTTTCTGAAGCCCTCACTGGGGCAGGTACGCTGTGATGGCCACGGGGGCTCAGCTGAAGCTGCTTTGCAATGGTGCAGTTTTCATGATTTCTCTCCTTTCCCCCTAACATCTCAAAGCACATACCCCCTGCCCCCAGCATTCACTGGAATGCCGCCATCTGTCCACTTCAGTGGCTTCCCCTGGGGAACCTCCTTTGAAAGTGAGCTACAATTTGTCTTCCTTTCCTTTGACTCCAGCACAGAGTTTGACCCTCAAAAGACCTCAGTAATTAGGCCTGGGTCTCTGCACCTTCACCCACCTTCTGGGTGTCAGGCTATGATTCCATTTATTTTGGTGAATGTGATGCCTCAGTTTGACTCCTGAGTGTTGTTCTTATGTGGCACCTGACTGGAGAGGGAGCAACTGGATGTGAATTCTGGGACCTCATATTTAAAAATGATGCTGAAGACCTATAGGATCTTGGTCTCATTGGGCGAGTGCTCACTTCTTTTTCATCAAAGGACCCACTGCCAATGTGATCTGTCATCTATATCCCTACAGGCTGGATGAGATGATGGTGTTCATCGTGTTTGCCCTGCAGCCCTGACCGTATTCTAGACCCACGTCCTTCTTTCCAGTCTTGTGTCTACACCCAGAAATCTCTGGGTGTTTTTGAAGTATTGAAGAATTGAGAAATGAAGTGATTTCTCCTTCATCAAGTGACTCATACTTTTGTTTCCTTCGCTGCATCCCTTTATTACACCATAAGCCTCTCTAAAACAGTGACCTTGTAGTGGGGTGTCATATAGACTAGACTGTCCACTCCAAAATTCATATGTTGAAATCCCAGTACCTTAGAAAGTGACCATATTGGGACATAGAGGCTTTAAGAGGTAATTAACTTCAAATGAGTTTATAGGTTTGAGGCCCTAACTCTATATGACTGGTGCCCTTGTAAGAAGAGGAAGAGACCCCAGGGATGCATCTGCACAGAGGAAAGACCACGTGAAAATACAGTAGCAAGACAGCCCATCTCCAAGCCAAGGAGAAAGTCTTCAGCAGAAACTAAACCTGCCAAGACCTCCATCTTGGATTTCTAACTTCCAGAACTATGAGAAAATAAGTTTCTGTTGTTAAAACCAAAAAAGAAAAAGAAAAAGTTTTAGGCACAAACCCTTACTGCAGTGCTCAGCACACTGGGCCACATCTGAGATCTTTACTCCAAATTTTAGCTGGCAGAGAGATAGAAGTACACATTTTAGGATACGATCTATATAAGAAAAATTAGATAATTTTATTTATTTAAAATATTTTTTTTTAGAGAAGTGGAAGGGAGGGAGAAAGAGGAAGAGAAGCATCAGTGTGTGGTTGCTTTGTGTGTGCCCTCTACTGGGGACCTGGCTCACAACCCCGGCATGTGCCCTGACTGGGACTCAAACTGGGAACCCCTTGGTTCACAGGCTGACACTCAGTCCACTGAGCCACACCAGCCAGGGTGGTTTTTAGGTCATTTTAAAGAGAGAAATCACAATGGTCACAGCTAAGGTGCCCTAAGCACATACCAGGTGTCAGAACAGTTGCAGGCAGTTCAAACTCCACTCATTGAATTGTAACATCATCCTTACTCTTTAGCTATGAGACTTTACGTGACTGATTATCTTGCTATTTGCATTTTACAGGGTTTTATTGGCATGTTTTTTTTATGTGTCTTGCTTTCTCTAAATCCAACAGGAAGTTTTAACACTCACCTTCATCAAAAATAGGTTAATAAAATCCTCCTACAGATCCATTTGTAACTCATGCTCCAAAAAGGTCAAAAATGCACATCCAACAATTGCTTTCAAGACACTAAGTTTTACTCATGAACTGAATAAAACACACAATCTTTGTCCTTTTCACTTCATGCGGAGCAAATCTATTAGAATAAATATGAGGAGGCCCAGGGAGTTTGCTCAGAAATGAGAAGAATACTTTAGACAGTCTACGGCCATTCCACCCTGAACGTGCCCAGTCTCATCTGATCTTGGAAGGTAGCCAGGGTCAGGCCTAGTTGGTACTTGGATGGGAGAATATTTCAGACAGGTGTAGAGAAAATATGCAGGTGAAATATTAAGCAGCCCTAAGCAAGTGGATATGGTTGCCCCATTCCTTTTCATTCCTTAGTGTTGGAAAACGCCCTGTCTGGTTTCAGGAACTGTAACCCCACCAACAGAGGGGAGGGCCCCAAGGCTGGAAACAATCAGGGAGGGAGGCCTTGGAGAAACAGGCCCCTGAGGAGACAAAACCTATCCCCCCCACCCCGCAGGGGTGTAGCTTCTGCCTCTCTGCTTGGCCCTGTGATGGTCGCTTGTTGATTACAGGTAAGACTCCTCGATGGAGGGGCGACCTAAGCAAGACGCTGACCAGTATGAGAAGCAGACAAGAAACTGGGGGACACGGAGAAAGGACAGAAAGGCCCACAACCCTCAACTCGGCTCGGACATGGCCGGAGTCCTCATTCTATCTAAAAGAAGTCTCCTTGTCTCTTGGTGGCTCCCTCCTCCTGCCTGGCTCAGGCTCGAAACAATAACCGGAGTCAGTCCTAAACCAGATTTGGAAGTTCCTAGAGAAATCAGGCCTAAAAGTGAATTCTTCAAAGTGTGCCTTGTTCTTCCCTCAGAAGCCACAGCCAGCTCATGCTGGGAAGGAAATTTACATTATTCACAGACCCGAACCCTATACTGTTAGACACTCTTGTGTTTACTACGCTCAAGTTTAGTCAGCTCTCTTGTTTACTAGTCTCCTCTCGGACTCATGTAAATTGGTGTGTTCCTGTCATTTGTTTTCTTCAAAGGATCACCTGTTCTCTGTAAACATTAACATACTGATGTAATGAGACCACCTGTGCATTCCTGTTACCTGGTCCCACTGATAACCCTTTCAATAAAAGCCTTTGAAGAGAGGGACTCTGGGCCTTCCCCACTAGGGGGATGTGCCATGTCCCCTCTCCTGGCAAACAGAGGTGTTGGCAACGACTCGTATTTATTTCCCCCATCCATGACGCCCTCGGGTCGGGCTCTGTGGGATTCAGAGTCCCCAGTCCCATCTCAGCTGTCCCCAGATCGTAACCCTCAGATTCCGGAGTGTCGCGCTCCCCGAGACGCACTCAGTCCCCCTGCTGCAGTTGTTGCTCAGACCTGGGAGGAGCGGTGTTCTGCAGCTGCGCTCTCCCCACGCGCCACACACAACGCCTTAGACTATATCCCATCTGGCCCTCTGTATTTTTCCTCCAACCCCCAAAATGTTTGTTTTCCTCCATAACATGACATTTCGAAAAGACTAACAGGTTGTTTCCACCTGGTTTTGAACCAGGGACCCTTTGCATGTTAGGTAAACGTGATAACCACTACACTATGGGAATATTCTTTGTTTTCCTCTATAACATTTTGTAATGTATTATCAAGATACGGTTCTTTTTTTTTCCCCTGTGAAAATAACATATATCTGGGAATGTGATTACATAATAAATTTACATTTGCTACCAGGATCCATACAATGTTGTCATCCATGAAGGTGTTGAAAGTGGGCATCTGACCCTGAGAAAAAGGTTTTGAATTCACAGATTTCACCTGGTGTTCCCATGACATTTCTTACCAAATTTTCTGAGATGTGATCTATTCAGAATTTCTAAGCGTATGACATGTACTGTTATTAATGATTATATACCAAATATATAGTGGGTACCAGGATGTCTGAAATGTCGGCATCTGTGAAGGTTTGAACAGTGGGCATCTGAATATGAGACAAGGGTTTTGGATTCCAGGTTTCACTGCCTTGCTGAGAAATAATATTCCCCCTCACCTGTAAATGCAGTGACAGTGTCTGCATGGGACTGCAGACTATTTCTGCAAAAGCGATATGGAATGAGCAAACTATCAAAATGTATTAATGTTGATTAATGGAGTTATAAAGTATTACTTAAGTAGCTACAAGACAAAAGGCTCTGTGAAGCCTGAGAACAGGTAAATCTCAATGGGTGGTAATTAACACTGAGTTCTAAGAGATGAGAGAACTGAGCTATTGCTCTGATGAAAAGTTGGCTACCCTGAACTTTTTGTTTCTACAAAGTGTGAGTCTTTTTCAGTCATGAGAACTCGAGGAAGAAATAGTGAAATGAGAAAGGTACGGTAAGGAGTGAGCAGAACAATTTAGAATTGTGGAAAGACAGTCAAGGTATCGTGATTTATTGCTTCAACAATCATTTACTAAAGATCTCATCTGCTTCAGAGGTTCACCCAGGTCTTGGAGAGCTGTGGTTGCTTCCGTGCCATGTTGCGGATGCATTGCTAGAATTGCCTTCATCCAAAGAACTCCTTGACCATCTAGCTCAATGTCAGGAGATCAAATCTTAGCGGTGGTCTATTACCAAAAAGAGTGTGCACCCAACTCTGTCTTACAAAGTCCCAGGAACACAGGGAGTTGGCGCAGCTCATCAGTGTGACCGTAATGGCATCAGTGAGTGGCAAACACACTCCCCTAGCTGTTTGCCAGCTTTCTCATGACAGGGTTGTCTGCAGTGGTGACGATGTATAAGATGCCCTTGATTCTCAGCAGGAGCTTGTCGTTCCTTGTGGGGATACTGTCCTGTGGCTCTGACTCATCCAAGTAGAGCAGCTTCATTAACTGAAGAAAGTTTCGTTCTCTTTTTGCTCTCAGTCACTACAAACTTCAGAGTCTTGAGGTTTCTGCTAAGTTTGGTCCCATCTGTGCCTCACTCCAGATTGTTTTTGAAATGTTTTCCACAGGCATATGCGTTCGTTCTCTCTGTGTTTGCCACCGTTAGGCAGGATCTGTGGGTTCAACAACTGCTATCCCTGCGATCTTTGTGTCTATGATGGTTCTGCCGTGCAAATTGCATCCCATTCTGCTGGTAGGTGGTCTTTTGTGTGCATGCGGTGCCTGCCAGCTGGAAACAGTTTTGTCCTCATCTTCCTTGTGGAAATAAGTGTCCTGACTTCCACCACCATTCTGCTGGCAGGTGGTCTTTTGTGTGCATGCGGTGTCTGCCAGCTGCAAACAGTTTTGTCCTCATCTTCCTTGTGGAAATAAGTGTCCTGACTTCCACCACCAAACTGAAAGGAGGACTTACACATGTCAATTATATGTTGGTATGCGAAACCAGTCCAGTCTTCAACCTTTGTCAGTTGATCTCCTTCGCTGAATGGCTGTTAGAGTATATCTCCAAACTGCTCAGGAACCTCACAGGGACACCAGCCTGAGAGGTTGTCCTGGATCAAAACTGTGATAAACTTTTGAACTTCTAAAGCCTGCAACACTTTCAGTTTGTTAGGATGGCAAAAGATGGTCTAAGACGGACACCTCGATACCAGCTGCAATTTTAGAAATGGGGGGAGGGTTGGGGTGGGGAAGCCCTTTAGAAGTTTTTTTGAAACATTACTTTTTTAATAGTAACCTATATATGTTCATTGGTTTTAGAGAGAGAGGAAGGGAGGGAGAGAGAGGGAGAAACATCAATGTGAGAGAGAAATATCAACTGGTTGCTTCCTGTAAGTGCACAAGTTATGCACTAACAAGTTCCCTAGTTATTCGCCCTGACCAGGAATTAAACCCACAATCTTTTGGTGTATGGGACAACGCTCCAACCAACTGAGCAACCAAGCCAGGGCCGCTTTAAATTTTTAAACAAGAGGAAGCTTCTTAATGGATTACTACTGATTTTTAATTTTTATTGCACATATACATACCCATACTTTCTATTTTTTTAATTGGTTGACTTTTTTTTTTTTAAAGAGAAAGGGGGAAGAGAAAGAGAAATCAATTTGTCGTTCCACTTATTTATGCATTCATTGGTTACTTCTTGTATGTGCCCTGACTGGAGTTTGAACCCACAACCTTGGCATATTGGGATGATACCCCAACCAACTGAGCTACCTGGCCAGGGCTTTTAATTTTTTAAATGGTACTATTTCAGGTGATGTGAAAATTTTGAGCTACATGTAGGTCAATTTTCAGTATGAACATGCACTTCATTTACTCTAAATTTAATTCATGAATATATTCTTAATCTTACCACATTGCCAATGCCATGTATGTCATCATCTCACCTATAAATCTTTAATTAGTCTGTAACTCACAATTTCTCTTTTTTTATAATTACAATCACATTTTCAAATTGACAAAATTTATCTTTACTATAATTTAATTCTCTTGCATTTACAAAAATTCATTTTCTTAAGTGATATTTAAATTATAAATAAGTAGACTTCCATTTATATTTATCATATGCATCTTTTTTTTAATTTCAAAAGTTTTTCCTACTTTTTTTGGGTCATATTTATCATATATATATATATGATGGTGTGACCAGGTCATTTGGTAAAATTTCCCATATTCTTTTATTTCTATCCTTATCCTAGAACATGTTTATTCTAGGATGGGGAAGGGAGAGGGAAAGAGAGGGAAAGAAACGTTGAACCCTTAACCTAGGCATGTGCCCTGACCAGGAATCAAACTGACTCCGGTCCGGTTTATGGAAAGACTCTCCAACCAACTGAGTCTCACTGGCCAGGGCCCAGATGTTTTTTTTAAAGATTTTATTTATTTATTTTTAGAGAGGCAAAGGAAGGGAGAGAGAAACATCAATGTGTGGTTGCTTCTCACACACCCCGTATCTGGGACCTGGCCTGCAACCCAGGCATGTGCTCTAGACTGGGAATTAAACCAGTGACCCTTTGGTTCACAGGCTGTTGCTCAGTCCACTGGGCCACACCAGCCAGAGCCAGGGCCCAGATTTTTTAATGCAGGCATACCTCGCTTTATTTGTATGTCCCCTACTGAGCTTCACAGAAAACACGTTTTCATCAAGATGAACGCAAGATCCTTCACCTGCAAGAAGATTGCAACTCAGCAAAGGCTAAGATGATACTTCACATTTTTTATCTATAAAGTATTTTAAAGAATTTATTTATTTTCTGAGAGAGAGGAAGGGAGAGAGAAAGAGAGGAAGACAGACATTGATGTGCGAGAGGAACACCAGTCCCTTGCCTCTGCACACCCACAAATGGGGACCCAGCCCGCAGCCCAGGCCTGAGCCCTGACAGGGAATCGACCAGGGAGCCTTTCAGTTCTCAGATCGGCACTCAATCCTCTGAGCCACACCAGCCAGGGCTCAATAAGGTATTTTAAAATTAAGGTATGTATATGATGACGACAACGATGATGATGATGGCGGCATAATGTTTTGGCACACTTAATAGTCTTGAGTAGTGTGTAATATAAACATAAATTTTATATGCACTGGGGAACCAAGAAAGTCTTGTGACTAGCTTTATTGACATATTTGCTTGGTTGGTCTGGAACCCAGCTCACATTGTCTCAGTGGAATGCCTATAATTGCATGGCCTTGATGTTCTCAACATGTTCCCTACTGTTTGCAATAAATGTATAACTATAGCCAGATGCATCAGATCAAATCCAGCTTTGATTCTAGCCACACTGCGGCACAGGCAGAACTGACACTTCTGATTGCCTCAGGAACAAGTGCCCCTAAGTATTAGTGTCTGTTTTGTGACATTACCTTTACATAGTTTGTCCAACTGAGGCAGGATAGACAGCGTTAGGGATTTGAGCAGCCTCCCACAACTATATTCCACCTGAAGGAGCCAGATGCCAAATGGCCTGAATCAGGAAACAGGAATGGGGTGGTCAGAGAGAGCCGACCCTGACGAAAGATAGGCAAAATCTGCAACTAAAGCAAGCCCGCGGTTGCACCAGAAACAAACTTGCCCTACCAATAATCTCCACTCGGGGGCGCTGGGGGGCACTTAGTACACTCGGTATTCTTGGGGTATACGACCCTTGATCCACTCCTGTAGGCAATAGAGGAGCCCCGCCTTGGAGGGCAGGAACTACATTACCCAGAATTCCGGGCGTAAAAAATGCCACCACACTGAGCCAATGAAGGCTTAGTAAAGGCGTTTCCGTTTGGCCGTTTTTGTAGGGCGGGACTTTGGTAGTCCTCGTGGCGGGCATTTCGTCTTCTGTCAGTGGTGTCTCAGCCCATCAGGAGGGTCTTTTCGCAGAGTCCAGTTGAAAAGGCCCAAGAGCGGTGGTCCCTGCCACACAGCCACGGGTGTAAGTCTTGGTGACGCCGCCCGAGAGACCGGCGCCAGGTCCGGGACTGGGACCGCTGTGTCCGGGGCCTCTTCCTAGCCCGCGGCTCCCGCCACGCGCCACCGTCGGAGTCCCATGGCGGCGGCCGTGCTGAGGCGCCCTGCTGGGGTGAGTGCGTGTCCCCCGGGCCCTCATCGCCTCACCCCACCGAGCCCTACAGCCCCACACTTACAGGCACCTGGCACGTCCTGTAGCTCCGGCCCCGGCCTCCAAGGGGGCCCTCCTAGGTGACACGTGTGACGGCGGTGGGAGAGAGTGACAGGCAGAAGAGCTCATGTAAACAAGGGCAGGGGCCGCTGACCCGGGAGGACCCCGAAACCTGGGGTCCCTCTGTCTGCATTCAACAGTCTGAGGGGGAATCACCTCTTGACTGTGCGGCAGAGGAATTGTACCTTCATTCTGAGGGTCTTTGGAGCCGTGGAAGGTTGTGGAAGAGCGGACAAAGGATGGGTTAGCGTTTCCAAGCTTTTTGAATCCTGCTCAGAGAGAGAGAGAACAGACTGGAATGGGCAGATGAGGACAGCGAGACACAGGGAGCTGAGTCTTTGCGCAAGGACACAGAGCTGCCTAAAGTCAGCCACGAAGACTGAGCCCAGAGGATAGACAGCATGCTGGAGGTCACCGGCCTCCGGGGCTGGGCAAGGGTACAGAGGACACCTGCTTGCCTGGAGCTGAATGGTGGTTGTCTGCGTCTTCCCACAGGCTTTGAAGGGTGAAAACCCCCTTATTTAACAAGGCAAGACAGGACAAGGTATCCGAGGCCCTTCCTGTTGGTGACACAACCGGGTAGTGTTTGGGATTGTGGCGTCTTGAGATTCTTCCCTTGGCAATTTTTCCGTCTCTTGGATATGAAGACTCGAGAAATACTCCCAAACGTGTGTCCTGAGTGCAAGCGCAGGTAACACGAAGGTGCTTGCATTGGTTGTGAGCAGATGCACAAGGTTAACCCAGGGAGAGTCGCCAGCAAGTGCAGGTGCTTGGTGCTTGGTGCAGGTGCTATTCCCAAGCCACTGAGCTGAGAATAGGCACCACAGGTCTCTCCTTTTTTGTGTGTTTGAAACAAAGAGCAGGCAACCCTAGAATTAGATCTGTAAAGCAGCCAGCTGATCCTTTATACCAGGTGCAGAGAGTGAAATGTTGGGATTAGAGAAAGGAGTTGTCTCTGCTGGGTCTAACAGGCTCCCTCTGGCTGCACAGTGGAGCGCAGGTTATGGGATTAGGGCAGGAGGCAGGGAGGCGGAGAAGAGGCAACTGCTGTCTGTAATCCAGCAGAGTGCTGATGGACCACAACTGTGTCCAAGGGAATTAGGAAAAAAGTTTGGATTCTGGGCCAATGTTTAAAGAAGAGCCCAGTGGATTTGCAGGCATTGTAGGTGATGCAGGAAAAAGGAGGAGTTGGGGATGACTTTAGGACTTGGTCTTAGCAGTTAAAGTGATGAACACTCCATCAGCTGGCCTGGGGAAGTTGGTGGTAGGATAATTTTTCTTGGGACCATCAGAAGTTTGTTTTGGCCCTGTAAAAAGTCTGAGAAGTTGCAGAGAACAGCGAGTAGAGGCATCTAGTGGGCAGCTGGATACTCAGGTTTGGAAATCTGGAGAGGGGTCCAGGAGGGAGATATCCCAAAGTCGTTGCTCTTGTGTGGATCAGTGTCGAGCTGCAGCGATGTTTAGGACTGAGCGCAGGTTTTGGTGCCAAAGGTCGGAAAGGCTAGGGCACCTGCCCAAGAGTGCTTTCCCTCCCTTGTCTCTTGTTTGGGGTTTCTAAGGCTCACAAACACAGGTTAGTGAGAGGAGTGATAGTGGCAACAGAGTGGGAAAGAGGGTGACCTCCCAGGTGACTAAGGCATCCATGGGATGAGTGGACATGGTAGTTCTGAAGGCAGAAGAGTGATTGAGAGGTGACTTTGAGGACAAAGCTCCTGTTCTTTTACTACCGTGTAGATTCATCAAAACTTTGTGGTACGCTTTGATGGAGTATAAACTGTTTCAGTCTTGCTGGTAGACGACGCCTGGGGCAAATGTAGTCACTTTTGAGTGTCACTGTGCCTGAATAGGAAACAAGTCAAACTGGGCACTTCTGGGAGTTTGAATGGAAAGAGGATGTTGTGGTCTCTGCCGTGCAGAAGTGGAAGGGAGTTACTCATAGCTGGACTTCACACGTGGCTCTGGGTGACTAACCTGGAAGTAAGGGTCAAAGGCAGACAAGGTGACCTCTCAGAGCCTCACCTGAGGCTTTACCCAGCTGTGGGATCTGTCAGAGGACTGCAGTTGTACTAAATCATTTTGAAATATTTGAGCACTCTCTGGATACCATATGCAAAGTACATGGGTGAGTCCAGAGAGATCCCCGGGGTTTGGAGCAAGAGGGCAGTGGAGCTGGGGGAGTGAACCTGGGGTGTGAAGATGTGAAGGAGGCAGACATTCCACAATGGTGTGCACCGTGACAGGAAGTGCGAGCTGATGGTCCTGGGGACCCCGTGTGAGGATATAAGGGTGTAGCATAAGCCCATGTTTGGCTGTGTCTTGGAGGCATGATTTGGGGGACTCGGTGGAATTGCTTGGCAGAAAGGATGAGGCTCTGCAGGCATGGCCCAGAGCTTAGACGGTGTTTATTTGCTCCCCTCTTATGCCCCCCAACCCTCGTCCTGCTGTTGCTGCTGAAGGCGATAATAGGGATTAATCGGAGGGCCTTGTGTGGGTAGGAAGGCCTGGAGGAGGATGAACATGGGGAAGATCTGTGAGGAGTAGGATTGCGGGTTCTCAGAGAGACACTGTTTTTGTCTCATTTATATTAATCCTGACAGGTTGGTGTGACCCTTGAGGACGTGGCCATCTACTTCTCCCTGGATGAATGGTGCCTCCTTGATGAAGCTCAGAGACGCCTGTACCTGGATGTGATGCAAGAGAACTTTGCACTTATATCCTCACTGGGTAAGATCCTCATGCTGCACAGTGACCTGGACTTGGCTTGGTATTTCCCATGGGTGAAACCCTAACCCCTTCCCATGGGTGCTCTGTCCTTACATGTGAACTGTGGGTACTACTTCCTTCCCCAGGTTTCTGGGTGGTTACTGTTCTTGGTAGGGCCGGTTTGTTTGCACTGCCCTCTTCTCTCCCCGTGGTCCCAATACCTGCTGTACTGAATACACAATGGGCAGGATTTGAAGTAGTCTTGCAGGGAGCCAAATGGATTCCATCATGACTAGTGAGGAAAAGCACATTTTTATATTTCTGATGCTCATTTTCATATGTTTTTGAAAAAAGCTGTATACCTTAAGCCCATTTTTTTTAACCAAATCTTCTTTATTTTTGCTAGTGAGTCCTTTAAATTTTTTGTATATTTTATATATTAACTTTTTATCAGATACAGGTACATGTCTTTTTGTATTTGCTTAATTATGCTTTGTATGCATTGAGTTGTTGTTTTGTTTTGTTTTTTTACAAAATTGGTTTGTGGAAACCCTGCATTCAGCAAGTCTATTGGTGCCACTTTTTGAGCAGCGTTAGTATATAGTTAGCATTTTTAGCAATCAAGTACTTTTAATTAAACTATGTACATTTTTAAAGAAGACATAATGCTATTGTGCCATTCAGAGACTACAGTATAGTATAACCAGAATTTTATTATTCACTGAAAATCAAAAAATTCATGTGACACCTCACATTGCGATATTCGCTCTAAGTGGTGGTCTCACCCAAACCCACAGCATCTCCAATGGATAACTGTATATTTTTCCCATCCTGGACATTGCATTTTCATTCCGTTCATTTTTGCTTTGCTTTGCAGAAGCTTTTTCATTAGGTGTAGTTTACGTTGTTTATTTTTGTTTTTGTGGCCTCTATGTTGGTGTCCTATCCAGAAAGTGCCGGCATAAATCTCATGCAGCGTTTTTTCTCGATTGTCTCCTAGGAGTTTTAGTTATTCAGCTCCTACATTTAATTTTTAATTCATTTGGGGTTCATTTTATGAGTGGTGTTAGATAGGGGCCCAGTTTTGTTTTATAGGTGAATATCCAGTTTTTCTGGCAGCATTCATTGAAGAGACTATGCTTTCCCCCATGTATGGTTATTCTTTTCTTTACTAACTTAGGCCTCTGTTTCTTCTTGTTTTATTCATTTTCTGAGGTACAAGGTTAGGCTGTTTATTTGAGGTCTTGGTTAATATAGGCATTCATCTCTGTAAAATTTGCACTTAGAACTGTGTTTTCTGCTCCTCATACATAGTCGTTGGTAGCTTGTGTTTTCATTTACATTTGCCTCTAGATGTATTTGAAGAATTCTCTTTTGATTTTTTTTTCTTTGACCTGTTGATTTTTCAGGAGTGTGTTGTTTAATTTCCACGTATTTGTAATTTTTCAGCTTTTTTGACATTGAAATTCATTTCTACGTTCATACCATCGCAATCAGAAAAGATATTTTACCTAACATGGTCTATGTAGAGTATACACATACTTGAGAAGAATCTGTATTCTCCTGCAATTGGATATAATGTTTTGTATATATCTATTACCTTTGCTCTAAAGTGTACTTTTTTTTTTTAAGATTTTATTTATTTATTTTTAGGGAGAGAGGAGAGAAACATCAACGTGCGAGAGATACATCGATTGGTTGCCTCTCTCACACCCCCAGCTGAGGATTTGGCCTGCAGCCCAGGCATGTGTCCTGACTGGGAATCAAACCCATGATCTTTTGGTTTGCAGTCTGTCACTTAATCCACTGAGCCACACCAGCCAGGGATAAAGTGTAGTTTAACCTCAGTTTTTTTCTTGTTTTTTGATCAGGATGATTTACCAATTGTTGAAAGGGGAGTATTGAAGTTTTGGGTCGCCTTTTCTGCCTTCAGATCTGATGATATTTGTCTAATATACTTAGGCGCTCTGATGTTGGGTGCATAATATTTAAAATTGTTCTATCCTCTTGAAGAATTGATTCCTTTATCATTCTGTAATGACTGTTGTTTCTTGTGACAGTTTTTGAATTAGTCTATCTTGTCTCATAGAAGTTTAGATACTCCTTTTCTCTCTTATCAAAATCTGTTTTTTTAAGATTTTATTTATTTTTATTTTTAGACAGTGGAAGGGAGGGCTAAAGAGAGAGAAACATCAATGTGTGATTGCCTCTTGCATGCCCCCTACTGGGCACCTGGCCCGCATCCCAGGCATATGCCCTAAAGTGGGAATTGAACCAGTCACCCTTTGGTTCTCAGGCTGGTGTTCAATCCACTGAGCCACACCAGCCAGGGCTCTCTTGCTGTTTTTTATGATTTGATAATTTTTCCTAGTGGTATGCTTTGATTCTTTCTTTTTTGTATATCTGTTATATAGGTTTTTATTTGTTGTTTCCACGAGGAGTGTACAACATAACTCATACTCTTAAAAATCTGTTTTAACCAGATAAAAGCTTCCATTGCATATAAATATTTTACCCTTGTATCTCCCCACACTACAGCATTTTATGTTTCTGATATCACAGTTCACATCTTTTTATTTTGTGCATCTATTAACAAATTATTGTGGCCATTATCATTTTTAATACTTTTAGTTTTTAACCTTTATAACAGAAGTATTTATTGTATACTCCACCAATACAGTATTATAGTATTGTGAATTTGATTCCCTTCTCAGATTTACCAGTGAGTTTTACGCTTTCCTATATATTTGTGTTTTTATTTAGTAACCTTTCCTTTTAGCCTGAAGAACATTCTTTGGCATTTCTAACAAGTCAGGTTGAGTGGCTGTTTACTTACTCAGCTTTTGTTTATCTGGAAAACTTTTAATTTCTTCTTGTTTCTGTAGGACAGCTTTTCTGGGTATAGTATTGTTGGGATGGCAATTGTTTTCTTTTAGTGTTTTGCAGTAATCACCTGGTTTACTTATAGCCTGAATTGTGTCTGCCGAGAATACTTCTTTGGTTGTTAGGGGTTTGTTTCCTTATATGAGAGGAGTTTCTTTCTTTTTCTGCTTTCTGAATACTCTTGCTTTTATTTTTTGACACTTTCATTAAATGTGTCTTCGTGAACTCCTTTTTGTGTTGAGTCTGGACAGGGACCTATGAGAATCATGAATTTGGATAATCACGTCTCTGATTAGATTTTGGAAGTCCATCTTCAGCTTATTTCTGTAAATAAAGTTTCTATCTTTTTACCTCCCTTGCTATTTTTCTCCCTGGTTCCCTTTTTGTTCTCTCTCTCTCTCTACTCAACCTCCCCTCACCCGCCCTTGTTCTGGGACTCCCATAAAGCAAATATAGATTAATTTGATGGTGTTCAGTAATTCAATTGGGCTGTCTTCACTTGCTGCTTCTTTTTTCTCTTCTACATGGATGATTTCAAATGACCTGTCTTAGAGATTACCTACTGTTTCAGCTGCTTGATCATGTGTGATTTTGAAACTTTTTATTGGCATTGTTTCACTTTATTCATTTTATTCTTCAACCTGAGAATTTCTGTTTGATTCATTTTTATGATTTCTGCTTATCTCACCTTCTCCTTTTGTATTGGTTTATTATGTTGAATTCCATTTGTGTTCTCTTGTAATTTACTGAGGTTATTAAAATTAAGTATTTTGGTTTATTGTCTGACTAGATTTCCATTTTTGGGTGTGGTGTACATTATTGGAAAGTTATGATGTTCTTTTGGTGGTTTCTGTGTTTTTTGTATTTCTTTTATTTTTTAATTTATTTTAAAAAAGATTTTATCTATTTATTTATTTTTTAGAGTGAAAAAGAGAGAGAGAGAAACATTAATGTGCCAGAGAAACGTCAGTTGGTTGCTTCTCACACAGCCCCAACCGGGAACCTGTCCAACAACCCAGGCATGTGTCCTGACTGGGAATCAAACCAATGACCTTTTAGTCTGCAGACAACACCCAAACCACTGAGCTATACCAGTTAGGACTCGTATTTCTTTTAGTCTAATGTTGATATCTACACATTTGATGAACCAATTACTCGTTGCAACCATGTTGACTAATTCTGGTTGGAGAAAAACCTCTACTTGCACGTACAGGCAAGGGTTCTCACTGGGTGGGGTGTTGTGTTTTGGGCTTGAGATAAGTCACAGCAACCGTGTCACTTTGCTGTTCCATGAGCTGAGGTCAGAGTAGTGAAGAATGTAAGGGTCCTCAAGTGGCTTTGGCAGGATTTTTCCTCAACGGCAGCATTGGCTTATGGAGTTTTAGGTGCATACACTTCCTGGAAAATACTGATCTCTTTTTCTGCTATTGCAGAGGTTATGGCCAAGGGGATTCCTCTTGGAATCCATGCCTGCGAACTCTACAATGTCTTCTGATTGTAAATTCTGGAGAGTTTTCAGATGTTTCTGAGCTTCCTGAGGACTTAAGCACTGAAGCAATAGAGTTTACCAGGGTTTTCCACAGAATAGGCCATTAGGGTCTACTCTAGCACAAGCAAACTGGCTGACAGCACTAGCCTTGTTTCAGACCCTAGTTGTTTCCACAAATCTTTGCACACCTAGTCTCCACATTCATACTTTCTGTGCAGTTCTCCCTTTTTTGCTTCCCTGCGTTGCTGTTTGTCTTAATTGGACTCTTATTCCTTTACACCATTGCTGTATTTGTTGGTGTATATCTGTCTACTTGTTCTTGAAAGGGAGGTGAATTCTGGTCTCCTATTCTGCCATCTCACTGACGCGATTCACATAGGTCTTTTTCCTGTGGTCTGTTTTGTGCTGCATTGTCCTACCATAGTGCTGGCCATTCATCTACTTAGTTTCTCTCTTAGGAAGTGTAGTATGTGTATCCCATGTAATGACTCAGATGGGTGTTAAGGGGAAGAGTTTTTTGTGCATCATAGAAGGGACATGTCTTCATCCATGGCAGGGTGGACTTAGAGGGAGTCTTGCCTTGGTCAATGACTATTGGTGAAGATTTGACATTAGCACTTTGTTAAGGTCATAACTGGGAACCCAGGCTGTAACAACAGTGTTTTGTTACCATTTCCAGCGCCCACACCCTCATCTACTTGTTTTTTCCTCGTTGTTGACACTTTGCAAACTAGTCAGTTCTAAGAATTATTACTTCTCCCTAGATTTCCAGCTCCTGAATAATCTTCACCTCTGTAAAGCCAACATCTCAACCATTTTTTTCACAGGTCCCTCTAGACTGCTCTCCAACTGTGATCCATGCCTGCTGCGCATTACAGTGTGCACATATCTTTATATTGACCTTGAACAGAATCTGTTCTGCTGCAGTTGATTTTCATGGCTTTGGGTACATTCACATTCTTCTACATAGCCTGATCACCAGTAGAAATGGTCCTGCAGGAAGCCATTGGCAGAGGAACCACTTGGAGACCCTGCCTATTTTCCTTGTGTCCCATCCTATGCTTGTAGGTTTCCACCATTTATTGACCGTAAGGGTTGAATAATGTACAATAGCCATTTAGTGACCTTAAGGATTAAGCAATGTACAACAGCCATTTCCTCAGAGCGAAACTCACTTGTCTTGAAATCATTCTATATTATCTACCCTAGATGTGATAGGTGGTCATTTATGATGAGATTAACCCTTGCTTATAAGATCCAAATATACTTCATTAGCATTTCTTTGTGTTCAGGATGTTGCTGTGGAGCAGAGGATATGGAGACACCCATTGAACAGAACATTTCTCTAACAGTGTCACAGGCAAAGAATCCCAAGGTATCTTTGTCTTCTCAGAAATGCCACCCCTGTGGGAGTTGTGCACCAGTCTTGAGAGACATTTTTCACTTGGTTGAGCAGCAGGGAACACAACACAGCCAGACACTGTTGAGGTGTGGGGCATGTGCAAAACAATTTTATTTCAGTGCAAATTATCATCAGCACCAGGAGCAGCACGTGAGAAAGAAGTCTTTTATATGCAGAGCGGACAGAGTCTCTCTTGCAAAGAGCAGGAATTTTCATATATCAAGGAAAACTTTTATTACCAAAGACTTTGTTAAGAACTTCTCAGAAAATCTCCAGCGAAAAGCTACTCAAATTGGGGATAGGCCAAATAAAATTTCTCTGTTTGGAGTGACCTTTCAAGAAAGAAAAAATCATTACACTTGGAGAGAATGCAAGAAAGCCAATGTTCTCAAGCACACTCTTATACAGCACCAGGATGTCCATAATGGAAGACATTGTTTTGTGTGCTCCGAATGTGGAAAATATTTTACCACGGTATATGGCCTCCGTTGTCATGAAAGAGTTCACACAGGAGAAAAACCGTATGAGTGCAGTGAATGTGGAAAATTTTTTACCACAAGCAGCAGCCTTGGAAAACATCGGAGAATTCATCCTGGAGAAAGGCCTTATGAGTGCAGTGAATGTGGAAAGTCTTTTACAAGCAGTCCAGGCCTCCATTGTCATCAGAGAGTTCACACAGAAGAAAAGCCTTATGAGTGCAATGAATGTGGAAAATCTTTTACCAGTAGCAGTAAACTCTGTCATCATGAGAGAGTTCACACAGGAGAAAGGCCTTATGTGTGCCGTGAGTGTGGGAAATCCTTTTTCTTTAGATGTCGCCTCCGTTATCATGAGAGATTTCACACTGGAGAAAGGCCTTTTGTGTGCAATGAATGTGGGAAATCTTTTACCAATACCAGGAAACTTCGTTTTCATGAGAGAGTTCACACTGGAGAAAGGCCTTATGAGTGTCGTGAATGTGGGAAATCTTTTACCAGTAGCAGTGGCCTCTATTATCATCAGAGAGTTCACACAGGAGAGAGGCCATATGAGTGCAGTGAATGTGGGAAATCTTTTCAAAGGAACTCTGACCTTCGTCGTCATCAAAGAGTCCACACTGGAGAAAGGCCTTATGAGTGCAATGATTGTGGGAAATCTTTTACCAGTAGTACTGGCCTTCGTTATCATCAGAGAGTTCATAAGGGAGAAAGGCCTTATGAGTGTCGTGAATGTGGGAAATCTTTTACCAGTAGCAGTGGCCTCTATTATCATCAGAGAGTTCACACAGGTGAAAGGCCTTATGAGTGTAGTGAATGTGGGAAATCCTTTGTCCATATCGGTAACCTTCATTATCATGAGAGATTTCACACTGTGAAAATGCCTTATGAGTGCTGTGAATAGAAAAATCTTTTACCAGTAACCATGGCCTTTGTTGTCATTAGAGAGGTCACATAGTACTAAGGTTTTCTGAGTGCAAAAATATGGGAAATCTTTTACCCTGTAGCTATATTTTTTTATTACCAGAGAGGTCACACAAGAGAAAGGCCTTATGAGTGCATCGTATGTGGGAAACCTTTTACCAGTAGCTGTGGCCTCTGCTATCAGATAGTTCACACTGGTGAAAGGTTTCAAGCATGAAGTGAATGTGGTAATTATTTAGCCATAAAATTATGTCTTTTGAGATTGAATAGTTTACATTCTGGAGGTGCTTAGATTTTAGGGAATGTGTTAGTGTCTTGTTCAGTGCAATGACACTGAGGGAAACCCTGAGTAGCCATCTGAGTTGAACTTTGTACGAATGTTCCCAGTGTGGACATTTTTCTTAACTTTAATGTTTAAGTTTTAAAGAACCTAACAAATTGTGATGTAAACTGATAGTAACTTTCTGCCTTCTTACCAGAAGTGTATGATAGGTCCATTTCTGCCAGCCCAGCAAACTGTTGATTTGTTTAAATTTTATTAATTTTAATTTTTAAAATAAGTTTATTGTGCTCTGTTTCAGGTGTTTTGTTTGTATTTTCAGAAGGACTCATGATCAGCATTTTTACAGATGTGTATTTAGTACTGATAAGTTTTTAGTAAAAATGTGTCCTCACATGATTTACCTGTTCCTTTATGAACTTAGGCTACTCTTCTTTAACAAATTGAACAGTGAAACAACAGAGATATGTTGCAATGTCATTCATTTTTACTCCTTGAGTAATGGACTTAACTCTTGCTTTCCAGAATAATTGTTTTCCATACTGGAAAATTTTAATTTTTTTTTGTATCACAGTGTTATAGGCACATATCATACACTGTAAAGAATCTGCATTAATACACTGCATTGTTTTTATAAGGTCAAACATTTAGTAATATAATAAAGCCTTGCTTTTTAGTGTTCACCCATTTTTGTGGTCTATCATCTGCAGTTGGTTTTAAAGCAGGATGTGAAGGTGCGCTGGCGGGTATGAAGATAAATGGGTATTTGTTGAACCCCAGAGCACTCCCAAAAGTGAAAGAGAAAAGATGAGCGATCAGACTCCTTATACCTTGTGCCATGTAATCTGGGTTTAAATCCCAGATCTCTGACAATCACCGTGGTGACAAGGAAAGAATCCACTCTCTGGGCCTCATATTTCTCCTGTGGAAAATGGGGGTAAAGAGGAGCCCTGCTCCAGGCCTTAGTGCCCATTTCATTGGCTCTATCACCAGCCATCATGTATGGGTGCTAACCATAGGCCAGACTCCCCTGGGACCTTCTGCCCCAGGTATTTGAGAAAAATAAATGGAACATCTCAGAACCCACTACTCTGCTAAAGTCCACAAAGATCCCATTACATGGAGGAGGTGTCTTAAGGGCACTGGTCTCACTGTGGACTCCCCATGAGGGGATGTCTGGATGGCTTTAGAGCCTTCTGAAACTCACTTCACTGATGATGTGACGGTAATGAAGGTGCTAACTGTGGCTCCTGTGAGGATCCATAGAGGTGATGGAACACTGGAAACTTCCCAGTGCTAGTATGCCAGGGTTTGTTTTTTGAGTGCTTTTTCTTTAATTTTTACAACATCCTGGGGATGGGGTACAACCAAGGATCAGAAAGGTGAAGTGGCTTTTCCAAGGTCACACAACAGAAAAGTGTCAGATTCAAGAGGCTAGGTTTGAACCAGGGAGTCTGGCTCAAGAACTGAGAACAATCTTTTCATGCTGTATGAAGCCCTCAGTCTTGGACAGATGGCCAAGGAGACTCAGCTGCTGCTGCTGTTTGCATTGCTGGAATTATCATCATGATTTCCTCCCAATCCCTTGGATATCCCAGGGCACTCATAGTGTGTCCCACAGTCTTCATGGGAACACCATCTGGCATCTCCAGTGGTTTCTCCAGGGAAAATTTCTTTGAGCCAGAGCCACACTTTGTCTGTTTCACCTTTGAACTTAGCACAGAGCTTGCCACTAAGGAGGCCCCGGTGTTTCAGCCCTTCACGCACCTTTCGTGTGACAGGCTTGGATCCCATCCACTGTGGTGAATGGGATGCCTCAGTTTTGACTCTTTAAGTGTTGTTCGTACAGGGCTCTAACATTCATTCTGAAGGTGTGGGAACAGCCAGATGTGTATCTACACTGAGGCATCATATTCAGAAGTGATGTTGGAGACCTACAGGATCCTTTTCTTGTTGGACAAGGGCTCACCACTCTATCACTTAGGGGACCTGCTTACCATGTGATTCTGTCCTCTTTGTTTATACTGGCTGGATGAGACCGGGCCTTCCCTGTAGCCCTAACCACGTTCTAGGCCCATGTCCTTTTCTCCAGTCGTCTTGTGTCTGCACCAGGAATCTTTGTGTAGGAACATAATAATTTTGAACACAATCCCTCACTGCAGGGTCCAGCACAGTCTTGCCACAACTGAGATCCTTACTCCAGATTCCCTGAGATGGGAGCTTAGTGTGGAAGCCAGTCTCCCCACAGCCCCATTACCAGAGTCGTGGATGGTGAGCTTTTCTCACAGAAGAGGGTGAGCATTGAGCATTTTTGAAGAGACGTTTGCCATCAGTGCTTTCCCGGTGTCTTCCTAAACAACACAATCCCTTTAAAAGGTACCGGGTGACATGCATGGACACCCTCTGAAAACTGACCCCCTTTCCCCTTGTTTCCGTCTCCCTGCTGTCAATAGAATGTCTTGAATTAGAGCTGAGTTCTAAAGTTTTTGTAAGTGTTAGTTTTTTTCCACTTCAACAGACGGAGCCGCTCTGAGCAGGCCCTGTGAGCTGTCTGGGACTTTAGAACATTATTTGGATGCCATTGTATCTTCAAGATAACCTATCCGTTGAGGCAAGTCAAACTGGTTTTCCCAGCCAGAGAACAGAAAGAAATACTCTTTTTAGTACACAATTGATAAAAGAAATACCAAATGTAGATCAGTCATTTTAAAGAGAATAATAACCGTGGTCAGAGCTAAGGTCCCCTAACCACAATCGGCTGTCAGGTTAGTTGCAGGTACATTCAAACTCCTCTCACTGAATTTGAACATTGTCCTCATCCTTTAGCTTCCAGATTCTTTCCATGTTAGGTTATCTCCCTATACCTTTTACAATATTTTATTGACAGGTTTTTTTAGGTGTGTCTTACTTTCACTTAAGTTTAACAGGACATCTTAACACCCACCTTCGTCAAAGATATGCTAGTAAAATACTCCTATGGTATCCATTTGTAACTCATGCTCTGAAAAGGTAAAAAACGCACATCCAACAATTGCTATAAAGGCACTAAAGTTCAGGCAAAAGCTGAATAAAACACAGTCTTCATAGGAAACAAAGCTTTTAGAATGAACTTCAGGAGGTCCAGTGTGTTCGCTCAGTGATGAGAACAAAAATACTCCAGACAGGTGTCAAGGAAACATGGAGGGGAGGTATTAAGCATCCCTAAAGCAAGTGGATGTGTGGGCACAATGCCTTTTAGTTCCTCAGAATATATCCCTTGTGGCATTCATTCAGTATTTGTGTCCCAACCCTAGAAAATAATTGTTTTCTCCGTAACATTTTTTACTGAAAATTCTAAGATGTGGTTTGTTTTTTTTCCAACAACATAATGGGTACCTGGCTGGTGTGGCTCAATGGGTTGAGCCCTGGCCTGCAAACTGAAAGGTCCCTGACTCAGTTCCCAGTCTGGGTACAGGCCTTGGTTGCAGGCCAGGTCCCCTGCTAGGGGCATGTGACAGGCAACCAATTGATGTTTCTCTCCCGCTCCCTGCCCCTCCCCCACTGCCTTCCCTTCTCTAAAAAAATAAAGTCTTTTAAAAAAGAGAATACTCATATGGTAATAGCAGTTACATACCAAATTTACATTTGGTGCCAAGATGGCCGCAATGTTTGCATCCTTGAATGTGTGGAAAATCAGCATTTGAACCTGAGATAAAGATATTGGATTCAACAAACTAATGTTTTTGTCAAAAAAATAATGATCATTTCACCCGTAAAAGCAGTGACAGTGTCTGTATGGAGATTATTTCTGGAAGAGAGTTATGGAATTAGTAAATTACAGGAAGATTATCAATGTTGATGAATGGAACTTTACAATGAGCATTACTCAATAGCTAAAAGCCAAAAGGTTCTATGAAGCATGAGATCAGGTAAGTCTCAATGGGGTGGGGTGGGTATTAGGGAGGGTAAATAAAGGACACTGAGTTCTAAGAGGTGAGAGAATTTACTTGAGCCCTTGGCTATTCTGGAAATTTTTTTTTTTTAAGGTTTTATGCATTTTTAGAGAGGGGAAGGGAGGGAGAAAGAGAGGGAGAGAAACATCAATGTGTGGTTGCCTCTCGTGCGCTTCCTATGGGGGACCTGGCCTGCAACCCAGGCGTGTGCCCTAGACCAGAAATCAAACTGGCGACCCTTTAATTTGCATGCCAGCACTCAATCAACTGAGCCACACCAGCCAGGGCATACCATGAAATTCTTGTTTCTGGAAAGTGTGAATCCTTTTCATTCATGAAAACTTGAGGAAAATAGTGAGGTAAGAAAGAGAGTAAGGTGTGAGCAGAAAAACTCAGAATAATTAAAGAGAAGCCAGGGCATCAAGTTTCAGGGCTTCAACAATCATTGACTAATTATCTGCTTCAGAGGCTGTACTGGTCTGTGCTATACAACAGTGAATAAAGGAATGTATTCTCACACAGGTTTGTTCAAAGCCATTATTGAAGGAGTAGCCAAGATGTCACAAAAAATTATAGTAGATTATAAAGTGACAGGTGACGTGGAAATGTAAAGAGAGTAGCACCCAGGAATGATAAACATGGAGCCTTAGCAATTTAGGAGCACAAATTTAGATGGGAGAAAACTGTTTGGGTACATCATGAAGATTATCTCCAGACAAGAAAAAGCCAGTACAATGTTCTTGTACCAGGAGCTTACCTGGAGTGTCAGACCATTGTGTCAGTTGCAGGGTGCTGGAGGTACTTTCTATTTTCATTCAGAAGTGGTTTTTAATTTCTCTTAAGTGTTAGATCCTAACTGTCCTGTTACATGTCTTAGTTCTAGTGTTTTTCAAATATTGATTCTGCTGTTTTTCAAATATTGGTTTATATTTCAGTATATTTGCTTAAAATTTTACTTTTAAATTTTGTATACTTTAATTTCAGAACACATACACACACACACAC